AGTTGTGGTCCAAATGTCTCTGAAGGCCACCAGGTTGGGGAAGGCTGACCTACAGAATAAGTCTTCCATTTCATTGTGTTTACTGTTCCCTGACCAACTTTTCTGAAATCTGTATGTATCTGATGAAATAATTGATCTTGTGGCCTTCTCACCCATCACTGAATTGTTCAGGAAAAGATATAAGCTACACAGCTGCTAAGAATGTAGTTATCTACACTGTAACAACTTCTATAACACATCTCCATCTGCTAGTTTAAAATTCCATGTCTGAGATAAATGACCCTGAGATAAACAGGGCTATACCTCTCTTCTCCACCAACTCCCAAAGACCACAGAAGATGAAATGCTTATCTCCAATATCACTGGCCAACAGGCTGTATGAAAAGGAAAGGAGCTAAGAGTTGACCAAAGGAACAAGTGGCTTCTTTCAGATTCACTTACTCTGTCAGCAGATCAATTAAAGGTTTAAAACAAACTGATCAAGAGAAAATAATTCCCGGATAATGAAGCATTTCTTTCCATTTCATCTTCTGGGATATGTGGCCATATAAACAACCATATTATTTTGAGATATGATGTAATGTAGGAATGCACAAGTTAGTACAAGTCCAAGATAAAACACGATAGCAAGCTAAATGGTGGTCCAGATGGGTTTCTGTACAATGTCAAGACTTGGTCAGAATAACAACTGTTTGTGAAATGCTTTATATCTGAAGAAAGCCAAGAATGGATAGATTAAGTTGCAACCTGATTATATAATCAATTTCAGAAGTACAAATGGCTTGTTTTTAGGTCATGCAGACGTGTCATAGCAGGCAGTGTCTCAGAAATGGCCTTTCGTTGGAGAATGCCTCTCTCAAGACCTGTTTTCTCTCCTTGATTGTCAATAAACAGTTGCATTTAAAATAAAATATTTTGTTTTTAAAATCTGATAACCAGTTAACTGGGCACACCCTTAAAACAAGTTGGGGAACTATCCTATGGCTGCTCGACAGAGTCTACAAACAGTCATAGGAGAACTTGGAATTCCAGCCCCAGCCTCAGAAATTTACTCTGAAATTGGAGCAGGGCCTCTAAACAGAAGGCACCCACCTTCTGCCCTTGCACAGCACAGAAAGAACTATTCATGGCTGCAGCTCTAAAGCTGCAAGAGCAACTTCACAGATGGAGTTTTGTGGGTATCCCGGGGGTCAGGAAGAGGAAAAGCTGGGTGCTGCCAACATCCTCTCCTTGGACAAAGCCTTTAGATGGTTGAAATTAGTGGATTCCAAGCCTTTACAATAGATTGTGCTGTTAATCAGTGAATCTAACACACCAAATGAGCAAACATGGCAGCTACAATTATAAAGCTGTCTTGTGCTGAGTCAGACAATTAGTCCAACTGGTTGATTAATGTGTACTCTGACTGGCAGAGGCTCTCTTAAGCCTCATTCCATGATTCTTGATCCTGTATATGGCTGGGATTTTTGGCATTTAAATCAGGCACTCTACCACCAAATGATGTACAGTTAAAGAACAATGTCAGAAGAACTAGCTAGTGTTTCCCCACTGGTTTATGAAATCTGGGTGGTGGATGGAACCAAGGTGCGAATTAATAAAAAGTTGGACCATTTCTCAATACTCCCATTTCTCCACGCAGCTGTGCAGAGAGCTACATGGTTTTGCACAGAAGGCTGAACACACTGTGAGCTGACAGCTGTTTCCTTGATTATGCAGCTGGCACGAAATAAGGGTGCAGCAGCTTGCAAAGTGGTGAAAGCACAATTTATAACCACCTTTCTGCATGCCGTCTTAAAAAGCTGCCTGCTCGGTTGCTTGCAGGAATGTGAAAGGGTGAACTGCCCCCCACCTAGAAGGTTCTTCCAGCATTTTGAGGCAGAATAAAATGACATGGAGTTCATGGTAGTAGTAGCAGCAGTTAGAAGTATTTACACAGAAGAAATCAATTTACAAATACTTCTAGCGATCTTATTTGATTTTCCCAGTCTCTGTGTGCTTTGCTTAATTGGTTCAGTGCTGTTACAGCATACAATCCATTATTCTCTACAATCCCATTTTGTTCCCTTTTTACATCAAGGGTACGAAGGCAATTAGTAGAAAGACACTGATTTTATAAAATTTATTCCCAGAAAAATGCATGTAAAGACATTCTTTCAAGGTACTTACATCTGGTAACGATTCAATGAAGGAGTGTATGTTGGCTGCTTTTGCTACCTCGACAATCTCATCAAATGACACCTTTCTGCTATTGTCACCATAGGCAATGTTGTCGGCAATACTGCAGTCAAACAGGACTGGTTCCTGAGAAACAATCCCAATCTGGGATCGCAACCACTGGATATTGAGTTCCTTTACATTTTGGCCATCCATAACCTGGAACAGAGGAACGGTCTTAGGCAGGGAAACATGAGCATTTCTGAATAATAATACTGTATCAACATTTCTGTGATGTACAGTAGGCAGTAACCAAGTCTGCAGGGTATCATTTGACATTTGAAATGCTCCTTGTTACAAATAGTTCTGAGGAAAATGCATGAAGGAATATGAAAACATGTTTACAAATGTAAAATGGGAGCTACTGAGCTGTGGTGGCTAAGTGCAATAAACCTCACCGAGTTCAGTAAGATTTGCTTCCAGGTGGCTGTGCCTTGGATTGCCATCTGAAGGAGGATATTATGAACCAGGAAGATCATGGTTCAGATCTCCCCTCTTCACTGAACCCACAAGGTGACTCTAAGCCAATGCTTCTCTTTTTGAGTCCAATTACATGTGATACACACACTCCACAATGGGAGCTCTGCACTTTTTCTACTGCAGAGCAGAGCTAGCTGGGGGAGAGGAGCACTGCAGACACACAACATGACGGGGAGAAGGGGATCTACCCCTTTGCCCCATAATACAGTATCAGTCTCCATCAAGCCACTGTGGTTGCCTCTTGGCAGAAGTTCCAGTCCTGGATGGAAAGGGGGAAGAGGAAGAATATATACACAGAAAGCTAAAACTCTGCCCCATTTTGCAATTTACATTGAAAGGACACATCTCAGACAGGGCCATAATCAAGGAGAGGCATGGTTAACCCATGGATAACACCCCTAGAATGGTCCCTCTGTTTTGCCATTACAACCTGCTTGTTCACCTGCCCAGAGGATGGGGATGGTGAGAAGGAGAGCAAGAGATGCCTCTGCCTACTTTCTTTCCGGCTTTCTGTCTGGCAAGTGAGCAAGCAAGTGATGATGACAAGGTGGATGGAGAGCAAAATGGCAGTGAGGAAGCAGTCTCACTGAAGGGGTTCACTGAGGTGGCCTTGCCCAAGGTCCTCCAAAGCCCAGAGCTGGTCCTAGGCCCAGCGAGATGAAGCCGAAAACTACTGCTGCACACTACAGCACCAAAATAAAGCGACTCAGTCAATTCACCACTTCTCCGCTGTGGGGGTCATAGAATCTTTCCAGCAACTGGACCAGGGTGCTCTTGCCGCAGCCACTGCTTCCCACGAGAGCCAGTGTCCATCCCTTCTCGACAGCCACACTCAGTCCTCGGAGCACTGTGACATCTGGCCGGGTCGGGTAGTTGAATGCCACTTTGTTAAATGTTACATTGCCACTAGTACTTTCCTGGAATTAAAGGAATATCCAACTGTTTCAGAAAAATGGCTGAGTGAAATGCTATGAAAAGCAGGGTGTGGGGGCTGCACTGACTTTGATGCTCAAAAGGTATTTGCAACATTCCTTTTTTGAAATTAGAAAATACTGTTCTCGCTCTGCATCTTTCAAACAGTTTCCAGGATTTTCAGCTGCATGAATCTGTGCATCTGATAAGGCACTTGAGGCCAAGGGCTTGACCCTGGCAAGATGTCCTCTCAACTGCTTTCTATCCTTTTATTAAGGAAGTTTTCAGATAGCATGTTCCTGATTGTCTACTAAAGCACAGGTGGATAGAAAGTAGATCTACTGGTAGGTCTTCTGGGTGACTTACTCTCAGTTGTCTAATAAAATGACTCCCCCACCCAAAAACTAAATTATACTGCTGAAATGAAGGAAGCTCAGGGAAACAAGGAATGGATTTTTGTGTGGAAGAATGTGAGCTCCACTCAGTTCTGGCATGGAAAACAAATTCCTGGGCTCAGAAATCTTTAATTCTAAGCATAAAGTATTTGCACCAGGCTAAAACTGGTGGATCTTGGAGGTTCTGGTAAGAAACAGACCTGAAGCCTGCCCCTCATTCATTAAAGCAGCAGATGGTAGATAAATGAGGATCTTGAAGAAGGTGCTACATTTATGCTTGTAGCTCAATCCCTGCTGTGCAAATTGCTCATGGAATGGTGATACTGCAGGAATCGGTATCGGTGTTGTGGATGTGCGGGGCTAGATGGAAAGTTGGTGCAGTCTGATGTCCCAGACTTACTTGCACTACCTGGACTGAGCACATATCCTTTTGGCCATGTGGAATTGCAGAAGTTTTATAGTTGGACTATGAGCAAAGGCTGTGAGTGTACATGCATGTGCAACTACACGGAGATACAGCAGAAAGTACAGCCTGTCCACTTGAAAGGTCAAGGGGGAAGCTGAGATGGGGTTAGTTACATCAGTTGGTCAGCTGGCACCCATTCACAATCCTTGTTTAGTGGATCTAGGCATAAACTGGTCATTAACTGCAGACCCATAAAGCAGCAAAACCAAGTGCTGAAGCCTTCTATAAACTAGAAAATAATGTCCAGGGATCTACTTACAGGTTTTAGTCCTTCATCACTATAATTATCTATTGAGGGTACTCTTTCAAACAGCATGAACATATGAGCTGCAGATATTTTGGCTTTGGCATAGTCTGGTGTAAATGACGCCGTCTGTCCTAGTGCCATGGCACCAAAAACAATGCAGGAGAACACTCTGGAAGTGCAAACCCCCCCAAAAAAAATCATATGTAGGATGTGTTGTTGAGAAGATTAGTCATAATGGCTTTTATGTACATATTTTGTTGGCATCAGCCTAGCACACTGTCTAAGGGGCAATGAAGACATTTCTTTAAACACACAGCTAGCAGCTATGTCTTCATTATTCTAAGGTAAGCACAGGAGAGCCTTAACTGGACCAACACCTTAGTGCAGGGAAGGAGAGCTTTCATCCCTTCCCCCCACCCCACCCTCCATGCCCTCCACCCAGTACTCTGCTCCTGGCCCCGCTCACAGGGCCCATGCTAGTAATTCTGATTGCCAAAAAGGATAGCTTCAAGCAAATGAATCTCTATAGACGGCAGGTGAGGGGTCCCCCCCCTCCCTCCCCCCGCCCCCAGTGTCCTCCTTGCTTGGCAGACCCACACTGCCAGCCCCCATTTTTTCCTCTTCCTGTGGGTGCTTCCAGGCAAGGCTTCATGCCCAGGATTTTGCATGGTGACCGAATGCTGCTGTCTTCCAGCTGTAACAGTCCTGTGTTTTCCTACCACTTCTTCCATCTTTATTTTTACACAGCAAATCCATTAAGGAGAGAAAGATGTGCTTTCTGCACAATGCAGTTTGACTGGCAGCATTTGGAACCCTCCAGCTGGGTTCCAAATGGGTTCAAAATGGCATTGGCATCTGCTGTCAGGTGCCAATGCCGGTGCCAACTGACCATCTTTCTTGTTTTCATTTTTGCTATAACACTACCTGCATGTTTTTGAACTGAATCTTTGTCAGGGTTTTTGAGTGAAATGCTCCACTTTAGCCTAGCATCATGTGCAATAGCACAGTGGCCAAACGTGTGGGTCCAGCCATCTGCAGCTGGGTTGATCTTTATCAGCAAACCAGTCCTAGAAGTTTTCATTTCCATCAGAAGCAGAACTTTTCTACAACTAGAAATGGGTCTTAATTGTCCAATCAAGATTGTCGCACCCAAAAATACTTGTACTACAACAGGGAGAGTTCCCAACTATATATTATTGCTGGAAATCTCCATCCCCCTCTTCGTCCCTACCCAACTATATAGGGATGACTTGCAGCTAAAACCAGAGGGAACGGAGAAGCCCAAGAAGGGTGGCAGAATATGCCATTGCCTCTACTAGTCAAAAAGCTCCAGTGTGCCAACCTCTACGACAAAGCTCCACTACCCCAGTAAGCATTTTTGAACTACCATGAGTGGATCACATGTCCACATTTCTAACATGTTGTGTTTTGGGGTGCACATTACAGATATAAGTTCTCATATATGTGCAAACAAAGACATGGAGAGCAATCCTGGTTAGAAAGATGAGATCTAGCTTCTGATTCATTCTTGTCTTGATGCATGAATTCAGGTCTCTATACAGCTACTTTGAGCTTTTCTTTTTGCATGCCATAAATGGCAATAAGAAATATTTTCATAATACAATAGTTAAATCACAAAACACCTGTAAACAAGCCTTTTTTGAAAAAGCAGATGTACTTACAAGAAAACATTCTTAAATTCTATGTCTCCATTGTCCACAAGATAGGCACCAAATCGAAAACAACCCGCATAGGTAAAGTACATCATTGCTTGGGAAATGCCAAAAGTCAGACCATGAATGTGTGCTTTCCTCACAGAATTCCTGTAATGATGAGAAAAGAAGAGGGCTTGCATACTGCTGTACACATGACAATTTAAAAAATTAAAGTGTGGAAACTCTGAGCTGCCATGGTTGCTTGGGCTTCCAGTAAGAGCAACAGTAAGTAACAACATTTATATTGTTATTTATTTTATATTGTTATTTTTATATTGTTACTACTGTAATTTTCTTCATATTGTGAGCCGCCCCAAGGCTTCGGCAAATGGGGTGGCATATAAATGTCTTAATATAAATAAATAAGTAAGTAAGTAAGTAAGTAAGTAAGTAAGTAAGAGAGGTGGATCTTTGGGTAACTCCAGACTCTGGACCTGTTCTTTCAGAGCAAGTGCAATCCAAGCTAGAACCACTCTATCCAAATATCTCCATCTCCAACCTTGGACACCACTCATCCATAAGGCCTTCATCTTGCCAAGACTCAATGTATTGGTCTTCATGCAGCTCATCATTGAATCTGGACCCTGATCCAAATCTTGAATGGCCTCACTTGGTTCAGGTATCCGGGTGATAGAGCTGTATGTATGTATGTATGTATGTATGTATGTATGTATTTATTTATATCCTGCCTTTTTCCTACGAAGGGCTCAAGGCAGCTTACATCATTCTCCTCCTCCATCTTATCCCCACAACAACAGCCCTGTGAGGTAGGTTGGGCTGAGAGTCTGTGGCTGGCCCAAAGTCACCCAGTTCGCTCCATGGCTGAGCAGGGACTAGAACCAAGATCGTCTGAGTCCTAGTCCCATGCTGTTAACCACTACGCCACACTGGCCCTTAGTGGACTGAGGTCCTTGGCTCCAGATCCCCTAATGCGCCCCAGTGGCTTTGCACAGATGTTTTACAACGTTGGTGACAAAATGGTAGCCTGCAGAACCCCTCAGCACTGATGCCTAGATAGGGTTGGGACCACCCTTGCACAGTGCCTTCAATGCCCAGTTCCTGGACTAAGCCCAGAAGCATAGCATGGCCAACAGTATGGAAAGCCGTTGCGATACTGAGCAAAATCAATGGATCTGCAGTCCCCACATTTCTCTCTCAAGGCCAATTCAGTCTCAGGACCAGGAGAAAGCCCAGATCAAAATAGGTCCGATTGTTATTATCAAAGAGGGCCTACAGTTAGGTATTGGACTAAAAAAAAGTTAATAAACTATTGCAGAATTTTTATGGTTACATCATTTTCCACCTACTTTGTGACACTATTGTATTTAGTTTGGTAAGTTATTGTTGCTTTGGACTTCCTTTTGAAGGAAAAAGCAGGACGCAAACAGGAAAAGGAATGATCCAGAGATTGCTTCTCAATTTGAACATTTTGCCTGCAGTTTTTCATTCACCCTACACGGGCAACTAGATTTCATAAGAGGCAGTACCTGAGTAACAAAGGCAACATCACTGGGTAAAAAGCTGCCTTCTGAGAAGGGAATTCACAAGAACATTCATAGAACATAAAACTTTGGATTCTCAGTATGCTGTTTTTCAAGCTTTTCTACCTAAAACTGTATCTACTTTCAGTTTTATTGCAGACGTGAGATGCAAGCTTTACACAAAGGGGCTTTTCCTTTCTTGCTTTTCTGCTGCATGACCTCTTGGTGCTATTCTGTATCACAACATGATTACAAAAGCAGGAAAATACCTTTCCTTTCACTTTCAGAAGTCATAATTCACTTTTCTTGCTCTAAACAAAATTAGGAAAGTGCTCTTAAAAAGCAGGAGGAAAACTGGAAGGTCACAATGTCATCTAAAGAAGTGTGAAGGAATGAGTAAGAATGACAAGCACGCAATAAATGCCTTATGCAGAAGAAATCCAAGTGTTGAGCAGAAATTCAATATTGGTTACCTGTAAGGTACTATCAAATTTTCTCCATACATGAGTTCAAATTTTCTTTCCTGAGTAAGGGAAACAACAGTTCGGATATTCCCTATTGCTTCTGTTGCAATCTGTAAAAGAGATAAATATTCTTACTTATAGGAAAATAACTTGCTTCTTCATCATACATTTTCTTTCACCAGGAAAGCCTTGGAGGAAACAGCTATCTGTGGTAATAAGAATATGTTCTTAAGATGTGGCACTCCACGGACAGAGTTCTACATAGCTGTTCCCAAGAGGTGATGCTTGTATTGTGGCACAATTGGTTCTGGAGGGCACCCTCAACATCACACCAACACAACTGGGTTTACTCTGGTGGCCATTTCTCTCAAGTCTCCAAAGGGCACTTTGCTGCCACGTAAAAGCACCTCCACTTCATTCCAGCAGGGAGGGGAAGTGGCAGGTGAAGGCTCCACTCCCACTCTGTCCTTTCTATGGCACTGGTTTTCAGGCTTATAAAGAGCTAGTTTCAGGCTGCCAGCCAGCTATCCATGTCCTCTTTCAGGATACGACAGGCTGCAAAGGACTCCCAGAAGACAGTTGCATTTTCTTGTGTGCTTTTATATACCTCAGGGATCCCTGAGCTTGCCGATTCCCCCTCTTGTTTCTCAGTGGTCCTGTTGGCTATTAGAGAGAGTACCTGTCAGCGTCATTTTAATTGTTAACAATATTTGCTTATTTATCTAGCCAGGGCGACTTCTTTTATATTGTTATTTATTTTATATTGTTAATTTTATATTGTTATTTTTGTATTTTATTGTATTTTATTTTGTGCTGTGAGCCGCCCCGAGGCTTCGGCAAGGGTCGGCATAGAAATGTTTTAATAAATAAATAAATAAACTTACCTTCCCTGCATTCTCGAGTTCCTTTTTGTCTTTCTTGGCATGTCCAGACAACATTCTCATTTCAATGAGCCCTCCTATGGCAATGATGGGCACAACAGCCAAGATCAAAAGGGTCAGCTGCCAGCCATACACCAGTGATATGATGATTCCCGTTCCAAGGTTAGCAACATTTTGGGCGATCATGCCTAGCCTGGCCCCTGTAGCCTGGCGAGAGGGGCAAAAAGCAATGTGCATTCATCATTAAGGGTGGCCTGCAAGGACCCATTATTAACCAGATCTGATGCTTGATACTGGCTATTTCATCAGTGAAGCCAATGACTGTTCCGACTGAGTGGCAGCGGCTTTCCAACTTTCTGTGCAAGCTCTGCCTAGAGATGCTGCAAACTGGACCTGGTATTCAGCATGTTACGTATGTGCTCTACTATTGAGTATAGCCCTCTCAAGCTGAAGCTTTCAGTGCTTAGCTCTGGAACAGGGTTTTGGATCTTTTAACACACGTTTTCCTTTTTGGCAGGTGTTACCCAGCTTTTAAGGCCAATATCCAAATTTTGCCTTCATCTGGGCCAATGCAGCTTCACTGGATGGTCAATTGAAATAAAGGATTTGACAGTGTAGCAGGAATGTTGTGAAACCTCCTTCTTCATGTTTGCTTTCTCTTCTTCCACCTGTTCCACTTCTTAGGAATATTCAAGGGAAAGAACTGCTTGCATTGCCCTGCTTGCTCTTAGGAGGGTTCTTGTGTCTTGGGAAAGGGCACAGAAGATCTTAGAATCTCCCGAGGTTCTGAATATTACCTTAACCTTAGCTAAGTCTTGCAATGCACCACTGGCTTTGAAGTGACACTTTGAAGAATACAGATCATGGGCAGGATGCTGCAGCCTTTCATGAAACAGCTGCTGTGAGAGAGGATTGTCTGAACACAGCACACAATTCTGTTCTCCTTGCATTGTGTGCGTGAGGTTTCCAGCTCAGCAGCACTGTAATTAAGACATTGCTATTAAAATTTGTGCTACTTGACAGTTCAGTGTAAGAGCACACAAACAGAGCTCATCTATATTCTGGAAGTTATCTACTGTGCAGTTTTAGCAGCAGTTCTTAATTGTCTTTTAATTGGCTCCTTAATACATTCAAGCTAAGCAGAAGATAACACAATTAGAATTTACAGGCTGAGTAGAGTAATTTCTCAAGCCTTAAAGCTAGAGAGCTGGAAGTCTCTTACAGCACTATTCTATGAATATTAAGACAGGAAAACATCCTACAACTCTCAGCATTCTCTTTTTCTTGTTGAAATGCGCATAGGATGGTGCTCCGAAATAGTTAGGCTTTTAATCAGAATGCGGCTTGAATGGACACAAATATTAAACTATTCCTTCTGGTGCTCTACTTTCCGCTTTTCCAACAAGTGAAGTTGCAGGGTAGGAGTTCGCACCTTGATTTCAAGCCTGGGAGTGCCTTTGTTTGGATCCACAAAGACAACCAGGTATGCCCTTATACTGTCTCAGCATGTCACTGGCCTGACCCATGAACGTGGACACACTCTGGACCTGGTTTTCTCAACAGGACAGGAAGAGGGGGATCTGAGCGTGAGGAACTTGTGTCTGACACCCCTGTCATGGTCAGATCACTTCCTCGTGAAGTTTGAGCTCGAGAGCGGCCTTTCCCTCTGTAAGGGTGCGGACCCGATTGTGTTGGTCTGCCCCCGGAGCCGGATGGATCCAGATGGATTTCTGAAGGCCCTGGGGGAATTTCCAGTTGATAAGGCTGGTGCTCCTGTTGATGCCTTGGTCGAACTGTGGAATGGGGAAATGACCAGGGCTATTGACATGATCGCTCTTAAGCGTCCTCTTCCACCAAGCAGAGCCCGCTCATCCCCTGGTATACACCCGAACTACGGGCTATAAAGCAGGCTGGGAGACATCTAGAACGTAGGTGAAGGAAATCACGGGATGAATCTGACCGAACACACTTAAGAGCCCATTATCGGGCCTATGCTGTGGCAGTGAGGGTGGTGAAGAAGAAATTCTTCTCTGCTTCCATTGCCTCCTCACAATGCCATCCGGCGGAGCTCTTTCGGGTGGTACAGGGGCTGGTTTATCCAGGCCCAAAAAAAGATCTCGTGCCACCCTCGACAGCCCGCTGTGATGACTTCGCCAAGCATTTCAAGGAGAAAATCGCTCAGATTCGTCACGAGCTGGACTCCACTAGTGATTCAGAACCTTCTGGGGAGGTGCCAATGTTGCCATCTGGTCCACGATTGATGGATGAATTTCAGTTGTTGCGGTCTGATAATGTGGAAAAAGTGCTTGGAGAAGTACGTCCTACCACCTGCTTACTGGACCCTTGCCCATCTTGGCTACTCAAGAAAGCCAAGGATGGGATAGGAACCTGGATCCTGGAGGTTGTCAAGGCCTCTCTAAGGGACGGCCGGGTACCTGCCCCTTTAAAGGAGGAGGTAGTCTGGCCAGTCCTAAAGAAGGCATCCCTCGATCCAGAAATGGCCGCCAATTATAGACCAGTGGCCAACATCCCGTTCTTGGGCAAGGTGTTAGAGCGGGTGGTGGTGGGACAACTCCAGGCACTCTCAATGGCCGATTCCAGAAGGTGGTGCTGGGGGACTATGGCTCTGTGCCATGGCAGTTATGCCATGGAGTTCCACAGGGGTCCATTTTGTCCCCCTTGCTATTCAACTACATGAAACTGCTGGGAGAGGTCATTAGGAGGTGTGGGCTGAGGAATCATCAGTACACTGATGATACCCAGGTCTACCTCTCGTTTTCAACCAATCCAGGTGAGGTAATGGCTGTGCTGAACCGGTGCCTGGCCGAGGTAATGGGCTGGATGAGGGCCAATAAACTCAATCCAGAAAAGACAGAGGTCCTTTTGGTAGGTGGTTCAGGCTTCGGGGTGGGGGACCTGGACCTTGTCCTAAATGGGGTTGCACTCCCTCTTAGGGACATGGTTTGCAGCTTGGGAGTGCTCCTCAACCCTGAGCTGTCATTAGAAGCTCAGGTGACGGCGGTGGCGAGGAGCGCTTTCCTTCGGCTTCGGCTGATCCATCAGCTGCGTCCCTACCTGGAGAACGATTGCCTGGCGACAGTGGCACATGCACTGGTAACTTCCTTAGACTTCTGTAACGCGCTCTACGTGGGGCTACCCTTGAATACGGTCCGGATACTTCAACTGGTGCAAAACAGAGCTGCCAGGTTGCTGACGGGGACTGGGTGTTGTGCTCATATAACCCCAGTTCTCCGTCAGCTTTACTGGCTCCCCATTGAAGTCCGGGCCCAATTCAAGGTGTTGGTTATCACCTATAAAGCCCTCAATGGCTTGGGACCTGGTTATCTAAAGGAGCGCTTGCATCCATATATGCCCTCCCGCCCCTTGAGATCAGCAGCAGAGGCCCTTCTCCGGGAACCCTCCGTGAAAGGTACCCGGAGGAGGGCCTTCTCTGCGATGGCGCCCCCCCATGGAATGCGCTCCCCAGAGAGGTCTGCCTGATGCCATCGTTATTTGTTTTTTATTTAAAAGTTATTTTAATTGTTAATTTATTGATTGTATTTATTGGGTTTTTATGTACGTGCTGAGATATTTCCGTTTTTTTAAGTCTAATTATATAATTGTTTATTTATGTTGTAAGCTGCCCCAAGGCTTTTTGCAAATGGGGCGGCATAAAAATGGTTTAAATAAATAAATAAATAAATACAGATGGCAACAAACCACAACATATTACAGTTCTAAGGGTATTATGGAGTATCATAATTAGCAATGTGTGCAGAAGGCTTGGGAGTGGGAATCCATCTGATTTCCTTGGTTTGGTTCCCTGGATTCTGGCCCACCTTCTCCCTGCCCTAAGTCCTCCTTGCGCTGAGTGTTCACGTGGGCGTCCAGCAGGAAGCAAGACCACAAGGCTGGCTTGCACACAGGCTGCCTGCACCCCCACTGTGCAAGCCGAGTTCTGTTCCCATGCACATGACTCGCGGGGTTTGTGTATCTTGTGCATTTTGCACAAAAAATTGCTTACTTTGCACAAAGATGCTCCAACCTTTCCCAAACATCTGTGGGCTTATTCTTGGCTTGGCTCTCTTGCTGGCCAGGGCTGAGAATGGCAGGGGAAATCCAGCGAGTGCAAGAGCGCCAGATGCCAGCCTGATCTCCGCACCCCTTGTGTTAATATCTAACACTGAACAGCTTGGGATGACTGCAGCAGCAGTGGCAGCAGAAAGGAAGCAGGAGGGGTTTCTGCTTTCTATTCTCTCCAACCCCTCATCATCTGCAAAGCAGAAATTCTGCTTGTCACCTCACAGTAAGCTGCACATTCACAGCTTTAGCAGAGAAAAAGGAGATAAGGATGGTGTAATTTCTGTTAGGCTGATACAACGGAGCCTGCAAAGCCAGAGGCTTTTCTGAGGCAACCCATCCTCTTGCTGCCTGTGAGCTTCTGCAAACGCAGAGACCTACGCAGAAACGCAGAGACTGCAGCAGAGCTCTCCACTGTTGCCAGACTTGTGCCATGCATTTTGCCTAGACAGCTGTTTTTGGCCATCTAGGTAAGTGGCAGGGGGAGGAGGGAAAGAGAGAAAGAGGCTGGAGTGCTGATGGGAACCAGTGGGAGCCCTTGGCCCTCGCCTTCTCCCCTCCCTGCTCTCCCCCTCCCCCCACATGCCTGTCTTGCCCTTCTGACACCTAGTTTCTGGGAAGGAGTGTCAAGCTGTGGGCAGGGTAATTTTCAGGATCCTGGAGCTGGGACTCCAGATACTCCTTAAACTTCCCAGGTGATGTCAGAAAGCCTTAGGATTGACTCCTAAAGCTATTAGTTTACAGTACTTACACCCTTTACTTCAGAAGCATCATGAGCAAGTCGTGCAGTCAATGCTCCAGTGCTGTTTTTAGGGTCATCAAACCAGCCAATGTCCTATAATACATAATACATCTTAAGGTGCAACAATCCACACATTTTACATATAGCAAAGAGCAACTGAACACTAGTAAGAAATCTAGCAGGAGCTATAACATTTAGTGTCTAAGTTGTCATATTTGTCATGATATTTTAAAACCTCAAGAAAGGTATCAACATCATTCATTTGTATTAGAGTTTTAGAGCTGGAGTCTTGTGGCAGCGCTACATTACAGACCCTTTAATTTATAGGGGAGCACCGTTTCAGTGCTCATATAAAATGCATTTATCACAGGTGGGGGCAGATGAACTCAGTGTGATTTCTGCTTCTTGAGAATGTGATCTTGTGCCACACACTAATGCCGTTGTGGGAGAAGTTGGAGGAGTTGGAATGGGGTTGTGCACAGGGAAATGGCTCTTTCAATTCCATTTCTTTTTGTGTTTGCTTTCAGTTTAATTAGTACAATTCAGTGAAGGGGTGGAGATTCTTTTTCAAAAAGTGAAGAATAGTAAATGGCAGCCTGCCATTTCAAAAAAGAAAAAAAATGGAGGAGGAAAAGGGTGAGGAGAGAACTGATGAAGGCCGCCCTGCTTACTGCTGCCTCCTCTCATGGACTGATACTGGAAGGACCAGTACTCAAAAGCAATTCCCAGAAGGCAAGCGCAGACCCTCTCCTATGCTGATTTTGCCCCAAGTTAGCTCCACTGAAGTCAATGTGATTTGCTTCAGGGTAAGGCCATTGAAAATAATGTGGCTCTCTTCTAGAAGACATCTCTGTTCATGCTTGAAAAGACATTGCACACCTTAATTTTTCAAAGGACACAGAAGGGTGGGGGAAGCAGCACTGCATTTACGCTCAAGTTCACCTGGGCAAGTCAAAAAGAAAGAAGCTGGGAGGGAGGCCCCAGCACAACCGAAGGCTCTCCTCAGAGTTGCTGCTGTTTTCCTAAAACCTAGAGAGGGCCCTTCCAGCTCCCCCGCGGCACACAAGCCACGGCCCCCAGAATGGTGTTGCGAGTTTAACACACACCAGTATTTATGCCAGGGGAAAGCTGCAATATAGAACAGTCTCATGATACAGCTAATCTGAAGAAACCCAGGATGTAATGGCAGTAGGAGCAAGAAGTGGTTGGGGTGACTGTCAGTGATGCGCCAAAAAAATGCTGGTAAAATGCTTGGGGTGCAATAGCACTCATCCCACGATTCTAATGAAGTCAACCTGCTCTTGCCTGCTCCAGTACAACTGAGTGGATTCATCACGGTTTTGTGAATTCCAAGTCCAAACATTTTGGCTGGTATTCAGGCAGTTACTTCCCAGCTTGCAGGGATATTTTGTTTTCCCTCTGAACAGTCATATCGACTCTTTGGACACTTTCCAAATGATTTACATGGGCATTGAGAGCACAATGCAACCCCCTACCACCTCCAGAGGCAGCGAACTACACTGGCGATTCCCTGGATACAAGCTGCAGAACAGGTGCTGTACTGCGCCGCATTGATGGCACACTTGAACGCTGCAACCCACCAAGTGAGCTGGCAGAGGAGAAACATTAAAATGAGCAGATCGGTCTCTTCCTCCTACCTGTCTAAGTATTGCCTTGAATCCCATGTAACGAAGCTTCATTGTAAGGATCTCTCCAGCTCTGCCAAAGGTGAACCCCTGAAAGAAAATGTTTCTGCGTGATTAGGCTGCATTCTGCAGCAGAGCAAAGGAGAGCATGGGCAGCAGCCCAGCTCAGCTCTCTTGCATCCTTTGGACAAAAAAACCAGGTGCTGAAGCAAACCGTAGTTCTGCCGGGCTTGGTGTGTCACTCCCTCCCATGTCTACTGTCCCCTGCACCCCCAGCTTGAACTGGGTTCCTGAAGTACATCTAATGAGGCTTCACTACTTGGCAAAATTACCCAAGCCACTGGTGTGATTAAGCTATTAAGTCTTGTGGGTATTGCTTTCTTGTCACTGGAAGCAAGTCATACAGATGTATCATTTGGGCCAAAGAATTCAAAACAACAAGTTGTACCAACATCGCAGCCAAGCACAATGTTTTCCAGAAACAAATGCCTATTTTCTTAGAGAGCCACACAAGTATTGCCCCAGTCTATCATCATCTTACAATAATATTTCTCCAATGATGAATTTGATCCAATATTCAGAACAGTGGCTTTGTATGGAAATGGTAAAACTATTTCAAGAGAGGTATACTGTTATTATTCTGGTTTCAGAATGTTTCTTCTGTTCTCAAGGCCCAAACCAAGCTGATTTGTTTTTTCTGGTAGGACTTGGTATTCTGGTTTGATTTGAAGCATGCTAGCTGTGGAATGCTGGGAATTGTAAGGTTCCTTCCTACATAAAATGCATAGCATTCTGATCCAAGTTGTTGAAGATGTAGGCATGGTGTTTGAACCAGCTTTAGTCATTCCTTGAGTAGACCCACTGAAACCAATGGGACTCCATTTGGTCATAATTAACTCCCATTCATTTCAATTAGACTACTGTACACATGACCTATTCATGTATTCAGCATATTGGAAAAATCACAGTTGTTCACTGCAATGCCTTAAAAATGGTGTTGTTTTGTCCACTTATTAAATATATCACTACAATTTCAACAACAAAACTATATACTGCACATTCCCAGTTCAAATTCACTATACTGAGTGCCTTGTGAAATTAAAACATATCTACTATTTTTCTGCAATAAGAAACAAGCAACTAATAGATATACTCGTAGAATTAAATGCACAACATTGAATCCTCTTCAAAAACTGGCTTAATTTTTTAAAATTCAAAGTAATCATTTTTCTTTGAAGCCAAATTAAAAGAAAGAGTTGTGCTTTCAGAATGCACCCAAGCATCATAAGAGCAAAAGACATCAAAACCCACCTGAAGGAAAAATGTTACAAAGGAAATGATCCCAAGTCCTAAGAAAAGCAACGCATACATGTTGCTCTTTTCTCGTACAGTTTTAGGGTCTTGTATTGCAAAAATCTACGGAAGAAGAATCTAAATGTTAATTAAGGTGCCTTAGCTATAGTGAAACTCTTTTGTTAATATGCAGTCTAATGAGGCCTCCCATAACTCTCCAAACACAGATCACAGGCACGGCGGGCAAGAGGAGTGCATGGGCGAAGGCTGCCTCTGTGCTCTTCTCACCCTGCACACGCTTTGGGGCACCGGGAAAAGAGCTCTAAAGAGTTTTGCAGGATGAGAGGAGCATAGGGAATTTCTCATGTCATGGCACGTCTTGCTCCTCCCCTACCTCTCCCCAAATCCTGAAGTTGCGTCTGCAGACTCTGAGGTCAACCACTGAGGTTCTTTCCACAATGTCTGTGAAGGTGGGGGCAGGGCACTATGCAGTCCCAGTCCCAGCTCCGAACCTGGAGCACATTTCCAAGTTTGGAACTGGGACTCCATTATCCTATGGTTACCTTGACAGCATCTAGAGGCCACAGGGCTGCACTGCTTGGCACAAAATGCTCAATATAAGCTTCACAATAATCCAAGCGGTCAAGGACATGAATTACTGCTTAGACAGTGCACATCAATAAGTCTAAAGTATTCCATCTCGGATTGATTTTGCTCAGAAATATATTTCTCACAATGTGTTTGCAGTTCCCCTATTGAGACCTCAGGTGCTTCTAGATGAGGCGCTAATCATGCATCCGTCCTGCCTCATTTGTAGAATTGTATGGGAGATCCAGTCATCATTTCTATAAGTAATCATCCTATGCATTCCCACTTCTTGCATCTTTTTCTTTCCACAAAAATGTTAAGGATATAAAATACTAATGAGGAAAAGGTGAGAGAGTTGTACCATATCTTTTCATGGGTAACATTAGGTCACATCCATTTTGACACATCCTGTATAACCCTGCTAAAGAGACATAAGGTGCTTCCAGATGGGGATTCATAGTGCTATCAAATACATAGTGCTATCAAATTGTGCAATTCTGTATTTTCTTTCCTATGTATTCTTTGTGGAAAGAAAAAAAAGGAAGATGGAGTCTCCAGGGATTGGGTGACATAGATATGTGAGCACCCTCTCCCATGTCTGGTCTGTCTAATGGCAATGGGGTGGGCACCATCAACTCTGACACTTTTCCCTTCCTCCCAGCAGGACACACTCTATCCTTGATGGTGTTGATACATCTATTGAAAACATATTAATATACCTAGGCATGTGTGGATTAAGGCACTAATACCTAGCTTAGCGAATTTTCTTTATTTTTGTCTTTTGTCTTTTGTATTTTATTTCAGTTGTTGTTTTAATGCAGTTTGTAAAGTGCACTGTGATTTCATCATGGAGGCTGGATCACCACCACCAATTTCATCCCTAAAGCTTTCTGAGAGGCGTATGACAAACAATGAAGTGCAATGAAATATAAATAAGGAAAAATCATAATATTTCCCTGGATGGGTATTATAGACCAGCACATCAGCACACTGCACTGGGCAAGGCAGGGATAACTGTTCAGCATGGGACAGCTGCTATGGAAGAACTGACCCCTATTTCCATTTGTCACACAGTTCTCACAACAAAGTTCTCTCCAGTCTTTAAGGATCAATGTTAACGTGACATTTCCCTACTTTTTACTGTAATTCTGGAGTAGACCTGAGAAACAGACCTTGCAGTATACTCACCCCAATGATTTCTGAGAATATTATTGAAAATGCCGGTTGCAGGACTCCGTTGATTATTGCACTAAGTGTGCCCACCAAGAAGTACGGCCATTCAGATTGATTTAGCTTCATAATTTTCAGAAACGAGACTGGGGGCACATTTGCATCCTAGAACACAGACATAGGTTTCATGTGGTTTACTGTGCTTCCTTTCATAAAAATGGAAGCACAGCCAGCCTGTTTTCACACAGGAGGGGGAGGCTACCTCAGTAGGTGCCACGAAAGTTGGTGGAGGGAACCAATGTTGCTTGCTGCTGTTCTGTTGCTACCAAGTGGGGATCACTTCTAATAAAGAAGCTGCAGCTCCTGAAGTTATAGTACAATGAAAAGCATAAGAAGGAAGATGGAAAACCAGAAAATCAGTAGTGAGAGACTTGCATAGGAAAGAAAGAAAGCACAACATAACAGGGAAGAAAAGACAACCAGTCTGCAACAGATAGAGTAGGACCTGTACATGCTTGTCCTAGGACAAAAAGGGAGTATTCCTGAGCCACATTCAAGCGGTAACTGCCATCGCTATGTAGCTGAAATGGCACCAATCAGCAGAGGTCTCAGCAGGCCTGGGGAAACCGCAGGGCTTGTAGAAGTGCAAAGAATCAGAAGAGGTGGGAGGCAGGAGAACTGGGCGTGGGGGTTGGAACACAAAAGCAGCGCCGTGAGTACTGGGCATGTTCAGGGGACATGGAATGCTGATTTGCTCAGGGAAAGAATGGAAAACCAGGTGGGAGAGGGCACAGAACGGTGTATCACGGGCTTGGCTGGCTGGCTGGAGGCACAATGTCATGCATGTTTGGATATACACATGCCCTCGAGCTTCAAGCATGCTACATCACACTGTGAGCTGTAAGGCTTATGTTTAAAAAGGACTGTGCCCTGAATCAGTGAACAGGCATGATTTATACTGCAACATTTTGCTGTAAATTCCACCTTCATAATTACCATATTAGCATCATTGCAACTGAAACATGAAGGTTTAAAGCTAAGACACTTACGGGTTGAACAGTTTGAACCTCAAGGCCTTCATTTTGTGTTTCTGGCTTTTTGACGCTCCTGCGAGTTGAACGCCTTTTCAATCCATTCGGTAGGGAGTCTTTGAATACTTCACCTGATGTGTGTTTTGGGGAACTGGGCTCATCTTCATCTTCTGACTGAAACTCAGTTTCAATTGACTGAAATGGGGAACAGACACTTTGAAAAGGTTTTGAATCTCCCCAACCCTTACTGAACATGGGTTGAAGTCCCTACCTAAGAACTAAGGAGAGGGCCACTTGGCCAAGTGTACAGTCTGCTTTGAACTGATAGTCAGGCATTCAAAAATGATACAATAAGAAACGCATAATGATAGAAAGGGATTTTGGCTAACCTCAGTGCTTTCTCACATGCAAAGAGCAACACTCCCTATGAGGAAACCACAATGGTGGTCAAAGAACTGAGGGAACAGGCAGGAAGTTTTCCCAAACTGCATCTCCCCACAAATGCAAAGGCCATATGGGTAATTCACACAGACCACAAATAAGAACCATGTACAACTTCTTGGCCCCACTAAAAGAAAAGCAGGTATAAATATAATGAACACACAGTTCAAGAGAACTGATTGTGCACAAAAAAGAAGTAAATGAATGACTACCTGCATATTAACAAGTTTGAAATAAACTCCTCTCTTTTCCATTAGTTCACTATGAGACCCTTGCTCTGTGATGACACCATTTTCAAAAGCAGCGATAACATCGGCGTTTCGAACTGTAGACAAACGATGGGCTATGACGATCGTTGTGCGACCTTCCCTGACCTAAAAGGACAAGTCAAGGGGATTTCTTTGAGGATCGCACAATTAACACACATCACAAATTCACCTTACTTTCTTAACAAAAAGATACTGGGCAAAATTTGGAATTGTCCAAATGCAAATCATGCCGCTTTTCAGCACTGAATCTGACCCTTCTACCTGCAAGCATCTCACAGTGATGCCTTCTGCCCTGCAACTTTGCCCAACAGAGGGGCACTCTGCACATGTTCAGGGCTTCTTCCTTTGTTCATTTGTGTGCCATTGCATTAAACACACTGGTCCCCAGCATTTTCAGGATATAAGGTATCATTGCCAGTTGAATGATTATTCAACTGCACTGCAACTTGGCAAGAGGGTTTGATTTGCTCAGGGCCAGGAGCAGAAGGGCTGGCTGATCAGGCTGACAAACCTGAATCACTCACACTTGTAATCTGATAACGCGCATCACCAATGTGGCCTGCAGCCTTGCCTGGGCAAACGATGGGAAGAATTTCACAGCTAGCCAACAGAGGGGCTGCAGCTCAGAGCACCTGCTGTGCTCATGGCGGGTCCCAGGTTTCATCCACAGCATCTCTGGGTAGAGCAGGAGAAACCTCTGCCTGAATCTTGGCAAGCTGCTGTCAATAAGTGTTGGCAGTGCCAGGCTAGATGAGTCTGTGCAAGGCAACTGGTTGTGTTCCAATCCCTTCTTAAAATGCAGCACTGAGTATTCATTAGTTCAGTGCTTTAAAAAACCCTAATTACTACCTTGTTATCATGTTTATGAATCTTTTATTTCTGTTAATAGGAAAACATTCCTCCACTGGGAACATTCCTGAGCACGCCTAGCACAGCAAGTAATTAACCCAAATGTTTAACTAATTTTCTCTCTCCCTTCCAATATCCTGAAGAGGGGCTGTTGCCATCCTTTTTTACGCTTTGGTCCTTAAAAGGAATCAGGCAGCAGCTTTTAGGAATCTTCTTCTAGACTGTTTCAGAAAATCCATCAGGATCTCCTGTAAGTACTGCTTATTGGTTCGGATGACAGTCCATCTTCAACCCAAACCATAGTTTTGGTTTAACTTTCAAAATTGTCTTTTCTAAGAAGAAATGCACACACAGGATGCAGGGTAGTATTTGTTTTTAAAACTAATTTAAGCTGCTTGCTGCATTGAGGGCAGGCATGTATCTTATTTCAAAGGGGGCAGTCCTCTTTTCACAGGAATTCTCTGTTCAGGGGACTGTCAAGCTTTCTCAGAAGGAAGGGCACCGGGGCCTTCAGTCTGCCCATCAGCAGTCAACACCAGGACTACAGACATCTGGTCACAGTCTTATTCCCAATATCTATTATACTTTGCATCTATACACGTCAATTAGCGCATGCACATTTTATGCAAAGCAGTGTCCTCTCTTGCTCTTTTACTTTGGTAAAGCATTCCTTCTCCTCTTTTTTCCTCAGTGAGTAAGTGGCCATCCTAGTTGAATCTAGCAAAGCTTTGTACAAATGCAGCACAGCTCCTTGCATGCTGGAGGTGGTCCTGTCTGGCTACTGCTTCACACAGCCTGTACTAAAGCTCTTTGCAAGGATCCAGAGCCCTCAGGAAAGGGACTCTTTCTCCAGGAGTGAGCAGGAAAGCCCTGCTGAGAGAACTTCAGCACGCTGAACGTTCACTGAATTGGACCTCACTACTGAATTGGACAATGAAATGCCCACAATATAAGTCAGGGAAACTGAGGGCCCTCCACATGGCTTGGTCTACACTTCCCATTATGCTCCCATCATCGAGCATGCTGGCTGAGGCATATTGCAGGCCAAAGCACCCAGAGGACATCCATAGCCCATCCCTGATATGAGGCCTGCAGATGAGGACGGACCTTGTCCAGTGCTGCCTGCACCACAGCTTCACTTTCAGTATCCAAAGCGGACGTCGCCTCATCCAGCAGCAGGACCTTGGGATTCCGAACAAGGGCCCGGGCAATCGCGATCCTCTGCTTCTGTCCTCCACTTAGTTGGGCCCCCCTTTCCCCCACCACTGTGTCAAACTTCTGCAAGACAGAAACACATGCATGGATTTATCGATACCTATCCAGACCAGTAAATGCTGCTGCTGCTGGGATCTTCCAGAAAATTCTCTGTGTTCCATACCTGTTGGTCTTTTTTAAAAATTTCCCATTCACTTCTAAGTTGCACAAGTAGGGTGGACAGGCCTAACCATGAGTCACTGAAGAGAATGCATGGTCTTCCGCTCTCACCCTCAACTTTCTCCCTCTTCCCATTGTCACTCTTTGTGCTTAATTTCAATGCAGGCTGGTTGCTCCAATGTAAGCGGGTCAGTGTGCCCAGTCCAGATTTTAGACTGACCTTCTAATGAGCACACACGGTAGGGAGCCCTATCTTCCAAACAGATTCAGCACCATGGATAGCTTTCGACAGCTCAGACTGAAATCTAGGGCAGAGATCCTGCTCCACTGATCTTGCAGCCACAAACCTTGGTGTCAATTTTCAGCTCCATGGACGAATTGCTTCCTTTTTGTATGTTGTTGTGTAAAGCACTGATGGTGCAAGATAAATCAGGACTTCCTGTTTTAGGGCTTTACGGAGTTTTTCAGATTTCAGCCCTCTCCCACAAATGGTGGTTGTTTTGTTAGAGAAAACTGTGTCTTCCTCAACCTGATGCCTTTCAGATTTCAACTCCTATCAGCACCAGCCAGGATGGCAATGGTCAGTAATGCTGGGAGTCGTAGTCCAACACATCCGAAGGGCACCAGATTTAAGAAGGTTAGTGTAGCTTCATTCCCATGCAATATTTATCTATCAGAGTTTTGGCACGTAAGGCATTAGATTCCCTGAACTACAAAACATGCACGAGATACTAATTTCTCACATTGGGCAATTTCATGATGAAGTCATAGGCATTGGCTTCTTTGACAGCTTTTTCCATTTCTTCCATGGTGACATCTTCACGACCATATCGAATGTTTTCGGCAATTGTGGTTGCAAACAGCACCGGTTCCTGGTTCACCACACCGATAATCTCCCTCAGATACCGCAAGTTTAGGGTCCTGATATCCTGACCATCAATGGTGATCTAGAATGAAAAAAGAATCATATAGCAGCAATTTCTATGAATGAGGTAAATATAAGCAAACTATCAGAACAGGAAAGCAGGAAATAAAAGTCAGAAGGTTATCATGCATGCAGAATGCACTTTATGGGAAGATATTATGCCACCTTGGCTTCCATTTATTTCCTGTGTGAAAGCCCTTCAAATATCTTATCAAATTCCATCCAAGGAGAGTTGCCTATATATTTGCTGACCAACATAAACACACTTCTTACGAATGCTTATATCTGTATTTTCATTCCATAATGGGCTTATGCTTAGGCTGTTTACTCTAGCTATCCCATAAACTACTCTAGCTACCTTACCCAATGGGAGGTAGAGGAGCAAAATGAAATAAAAATGGCAGGGCTGGCCATGTTAAAGTGGAACAAAGCATCCAAGAGGGTCGTTGTCCGTGGTGGAGGTGGGGCCAGGGACAGCTGGAATTGCAGAGCCAGGAGGAAGGAAAGCCCGCTGTACTTCAGCTCCCGGACTTGCCAACCATTTCTTTTGAGAGCTTGCTTGGTGAGTAACCTCATTTTCCAATGGAGCATAAATAGGGCCTTTTCTATTGTGCTAACTGGGTTGTGCAACTTTCTTTCCTCGAAAGTCTGGTGGCTCCCTTTCTCTTAAACTTTAAATAACAAATCAAGACCTTTTTATTATAACCAACATGCATCCTGAAGGACCTCAGACTTTATTTTATGTAACTCAATCTAGCGGTGGGAGAGGAAAAGAATATAGATAATGTTAAATGCATGCTTCCAAATGTTTGTTTTTGTTTGTTTAATATTCAATAAAGGAAACATTAAAAAAAAGCTTTTTATTTTTTTCTGAGTTGTTTGTTGGTTAAAGTTCTGCCTGCCAGTTTTTATGCCAAAACATTTTATCCTCCTCTTAGTTTAAATGTATAAAATTTTAATAATTTGAACTGGTTTCTTATTGCATTTTATGAACTCTGAGAATTTTTTCTAAGCCACTGTGAATTTTTTAACCAGAATATAACTAAAAATAAAATCTGCTCCTTACATTTACAACCCTTCCATTCAAGCCAACTTGAAATATTGGGTGGAATTTTGGAGCAAAATAATGTTTTCCACATTATTCACACTGAATAATGGCTGAAGCAGGATAACTGAGTTTTGCACATACTTTCCTAACAAGTCAACTATATTGAGGCATCTAATGCCAGTGTTTAACATAACAAGCATTTCACAGGCTTTGGTCAAGGTTCTTACTATGCCTTCCTCAGGATCATAAAACCTCTGTATCAGTTGGACTGTTGTGCTTTTTCCACAACCACTGCTGCCTACGAGTGCTACAGTCTGGCCACTGTTCACCTTCAGGTTCAAGCCCTGTAAAACCTGTAGGAGGAAACAGACAGGCATGTCACAAGCCATCGTCAAATATATTCCACTTGCCAAAATTGCACAGTATCCATGCCTGCAGAAATCACATTTGTGATGCAAGTTCAAAGAGAAATAAGGTTAATAATGGAACATACTCAATATAGGATCAGCTACGACATGCTATTTTGGCAAAAATACTGGCAATTGCCTTGGAGTAGCTCTTACTGCATTTATTCAGACTGGAAGATCCACTACTCTGTGGAGAAGCATGTCTATCTTTAAAACAACAGCAACACCACCAAGGAAGCCAAGATTAACTTCAGAACACCCAAAACCCAGCAATGAAATGTAATACAGCTTACAGCACAGATGTGGCCAAAGTTTTCAGCTTATCATTGCCGCTTATCTGAGCCAATGAATAGTAATTTCAATTTCACTGAAATTGAACATTTCAATTACACTGAACTGAAGCTTGCTACCTTTCTGAGTGGATTCACACTGAAATCTTAGAAATTTGTTTAAATTCTGTGCTTTTTCCAACCCAGTGTCTTCCAAAACTCCAACAGACATAACCAATGGTCAGGAAAACTCAGAGTTTTTACTTTCCAAAAAATCTGGAGAGCACAAGGTTGGGGAATGCTGATCTATGCCAACATAAAGATGACTTGTACATTTGCCTTTGCAGGTGAAACTAGCCTGTTCTTACTTAGCAGATAGTTTCTAGGAATGATGAAAGTTGTCTCTAGTGAGATGCACCATTGGTCCACCTTGTTCATCCTTTCTTAACCTAGTGCCCGCCCAGTCCCAGATGTTTTGGACTACATCTTCCAGCATTCCTGACTATTGGGCATGCTGTGTGGGGCTGCCTGTAGCCAGGGCATCAGGCTGAAAAAGACAGGGCTACACCGATGGGTAACAGCTCTTCAGGGTTTCAGGCAAAAGTTATTCCTAGTCCTACTTAGAGATACCTGAGATTGAACCTGGAACCATCTGCAGATAAAGCATGTGTTCTGCTACAGTTATGACCCTTTCCCATAGTGGACCTTTACCATCTTCGCACCACCCAGACTGTTACATGAAACCCCATTACAGCAATCTAGTTGAGAGGACCTGTGGAAGAAAAGTCAACAGAAAGATCTCCTAAGGTTTTGGATTTCAACAATCTAGAATTCCTGATTATTGGCCATTCTGGGAAAAGATTACAAGAGCTGAAGTCCAAAACATCTGGAGATGTACCTTCTACCCACCCTTGCCCTAAAGAATCAGGACCAACACTATTTGCAGTCCTGGGGTCTGGTCATAACTTCAGTGGAAGAAGAAAATTTCTGCCGGTATCTTTTGACATGGTATCTTATGAGCAGCTGCCCTCTTGGCTCAGGAACTCGCACAAATGGACCAGTTGGTGGAATGCCCAAATCCAATCCAATCCAATCTTTATACCTGGAAACATGTCCCTCCTAAGTCTTCCAACATTCCCACAGTAGGAGAGCCAGTGGGCCTCAAATGTGCTTCAGCTCTGATAGGGCATGGTCCCAAGAATAATTACAGCAGACAAGTTAACCCTAATGACAAATAACCTTAATCACACATTTTAAACACTGGACTATGTAGCTGATTTTCCCTTACAAATGTAAAAAGAAACAGTTAAGGGTTAAAGAAGAGCAGTGAAAATTTGTATCAGTTTAACTCACAGTACCTTGACATCTGGTCTTGATGGGTAATTGAAATGCACATTTTGGAAATTCAGATTGCCTTTAATATGGTCAGGTTTGTAGCCTGCTTCTGAAAAGCTGTCAATTTTAGGTTGCTACATAGAAGGAAATGACATACAAATAAAATCTGGTCAGTTTAATTTCCCTGCAGCTTGAAAGTTAAGAAAACTCTTTGACTGTAAGCTCCTATGGCCAAGACCCGTAGAGTTTCACAGCTTTTGCTCTCTACACCAGTAGCATTCAGGCATTCCAACAGACTGTGCCTGTCCAATTCCATCCTGCCTGTGACTTATAACGAATGGTCCAGCCATACTGGGCTATCAAATCACAAAGATTTGGCCTCCAATTCCGTACGTGCAATAGGGTTTTTGAAGAGAAACCCTGATCATTATCACCTCCTGGGTGATAATTTGCATTTTAAAAACAACCAACATATTAAATGAAAGAACATATATAATGTTGCATCTAGTTTTAGCCATCATCATTGTACACAGAGGTACATACTGCCCCCAGTCATTTGGCCAGTCAAAGGAGTCCCTAATTTGGGTGTCCCCTGAACTTTCTGTGCTGATGGTCATATCTGGACATTTGGAGAGTGTCGTGGGAACTCTTACAAAATGGCTGCTCTGCCCATTCATAAAAGAGCTGCCTTGATGGACAAAGCTGGTCATAGACCGTGCACCTCCCAGAAGTCAAACTGGTACAACTGAAGGAAAAATAACTTTTCCAAGCATCTAAGTACAATGTGCTGGAGGATCTCCCAGGGTTTGTTTGTTTTAAGACTAAAAGAAGTTGAAAATAATTCAAGGGTAGGAAGCTTGGTAGGCACCAAAGTGTCCATAAGTAACCTGGAGCCCCATGATCTTTCTTAATTAGCACCCTTCTTTATATTCAGAAGAGTGATCCCAATTGACCATGCAAAGGCAGAAAAAGGCAAATCAAGCTCTATTCTCACATGGCCTGGCTAATAAACGTTGGCTTTTCAGGATGTCATCCTATGCAAGCTTGGAAGAGAAGATGTTGGCCAGGGAATGCTGGGAGTTGCAGGACTTGTTTCTATCTAAGCATGCATAGGATGGCATCCTACAGCTCCTGATCCTTGCTGTTTCCATTTATATAGCTTTTCCTCAAGAACTAGAAAAAGGCCATGAGCAATAGATATAATGGCTGGGATTCAAAGAAGTGGAACACATTGACTCAGGGGGTCTGGGCATTCCCAGGGGATTTTCGACTTGGCTTTTATCAGAAACCTCTGTTAAAAGCTCTCTTCATTTCTGGTGTGTTTTGTCACACTGGGAGTTGCCCAGAGACCTCTTTGGCAGTGGAGCGGGTCACACTGTGGGATTGGGATCCTGGCCAGGGTGGATTACAAACATGTAACAGATCTCAGACTTCCTGGCTCTCTGTGATGTCAAGCCATGGCTCTGGAAAGGATACTTACATTGTCTATGATATTGAATATTGCATAAGCAGCTCCCCTTGCAGCAGCAAATGCTTCTAGGTTTGGCGTCACTTGACCGATGGAAAATGCTCCAATTAGCACGGAAAAGAAGACCTGAAAGGAAACAATTTCAGAACAAAAAAAAAGAAGCATATTTGTGAATGTGAATTCCTTATTAGTGAAATAAGTTCACTATCATATTGCTGGAAGGTGGCTGAATCTCAGTCCAAAAGAAAAATGTATGTACCAAAGACTGAGAGGAAAGGAACACTCTCCATAGAGCCCTTTTATCCAGGGAACAAGCTCAAAGCAGCCGTAACAAAGTTAGTGGAAATACAAGAAAAAATTAGTGGAAATACAAGCTCATTTCAAAGGAACATGCATTGCTGTAATTGTGCCCCCATCCGCTGCAGTTTTGGATTCAGTGCTGTGCTTGTTTGGACAGAAAAGTCCTACATCTCCCAGCATTCTCCAGCTACCATGTGGCCCCTTTCCAGTCTAAAATATAGTATTGCACCCTTACTTTTCTCCTCTTTTTAAGAGTATGAGAAAAGCATCTTTTTTATTTCTTTAAAAAAGAAAAAAAGGTACTCTTGCCTGCAATGCACTCCCCTTTCTTTCTGCGATTTGGCTGATTAATTTGCACTTGCACAGACAACTCACAATTTCATACACTGGCATTTTATGGTGGGATGTTCAGGGAAAAAAATGTAGGGTCCCACGCCACAGAAAGAAAGCAAGCAGCCTTAGAACCACAGGCCTTACCTCATTTTGAAGTAAGTGAGGTTATATACATTGCCACCTAAAGGCACTCTCTTTTGAGATAATTAGGTCTAGGAATAAAGAATGCGATCCAGAAATTGTTTGACTTGTTAACATCCCATTAAAATCAATTGGAAAAACTTCCAGTATTTAAAGATATTGATGAGATAAAAAGTCCCATTGCACCTTCATGTTTTTGTACCACCTTTGGTTAAACTGCCATGCTACGCTTTGCCATATGGGAGTCCTTGGTAACTTGGTGCCACTTGCTACATGAAAGCTTTAAAAGCAACCTACACAGCAGAAACTTGTGCCAATATCTAAGTTTCAGAGCACATCTCACAGCCACCAACCCAAGCACCTTCCACCTAATCTTAGTGCAGAGGCATCTCTCCCTTTCTTCTTTCAGAGGAAAGTACAGCCACAATCTTCCAACTATTTACTTTATGATGGTAATGCAAACAAGCAAGGGCAACTTTAAAATTCAGATTCAATGTATTGCAGAAATACACAACAAAAGAAACAAGCTTTGTGCTAGATCATCAATACATTATGATCTCATGAAAAGAAGTTGATCTTGGACTGAATCATAGAACAGTTGTGACAGAAGGAGCAAAAAGGCCACTGAGTTCAACCCCCTGCTAGGGCAGAATGCCAGCTATACCATCCCACTCAGATAACTGTCTGATTGCTTCCTGAATGTCTCTAGTGTGGAAGAGCACACAAGGTTTTTTGGCAGCTGGTTCCACTGTCCTACTGCTTTCACAGTCAGGAAATTCTTCCTTGTGTCTAGCCTGCACCTGGAGTACTGTAGCTTAAGTTCCTAACTCAAATGATCAAGCCCTCACCTTTAAGGCAATTCTTGTAACTCCACGGCCAGTCTTTTTATACTTCCTTTGCCAACTGACTCCTCACTCTGGGTGCAGTCTTACACTTTCCCCCTTCCTGTTCTTTCCAGGCATGTTCTGGCTTCCCACAGTATTGGAGGCCAGCTGACTCCCTGCTGGCCCTCTTGTTCATCTGCCCTTGACATTTAAGCTGTGAGTTGTACCACCTCCTTCCCAATGGAAGCATGATCTCTTCCCGTAGCCCCTTCAAGGCTCTTTTGCAGCAGCCATGGACCCCCTCCTTATTTTACCAATCCAACAAACGTGCCTGATAGCTCAACAGCCAATGGAAATGAGGAAGCATATCTTGGGATGAACTCATTTGCTCCCTTTTCTAGCTTTTCAAACTACAACCAATTAAATCAACAGAGAGGAAAAAATCAACAAAAAAGCTCCTATGTCTATAAGTGTTATTAATGGAATCTAGAGCAACTTCATATATATTCATATTTTGTTAAAACAGGCTCCAACACTTGGCGTGCAAAAATACAGGATGGGGAAATTGAAAAACACTGTGTGGCTTGCCCGCAAACCCTTTCACAGTGCGCTTAGTCTGTAAGGGGGAGATATGTGGAGCCTCCCGAAAACATAACATACAATTTCTTTTGTCTTGCCTAAATACTTGAATTGGTGTGGAAATTGGCAAGAGGGCTGTATTGACATAATGCTTGGCTGAACAAAGAAAGGAAGCAGAAGCGTGGGGCCAGAGGGTAAGGCAGGACACACTTGTTGTAGTTACACCAGTGGGAGCTGAACCTCAGGCAGATTAAGGAAGGCGGAAGACAACTTCCTGGGCATTGAGCAATCAGGTCAATTAAATATAGACTTGCACTAGGGAAGGTCAAAGCAACGGAAATGGACAAATAATCAAAAGAGTCCAAAGGTACGTTCCCAAACTGTGCAGGCCCACTGAAGGCAAAGTGGAGCAGTTGCTTCAGGATGGTAGAAGCCAAAAGCCATTACGAGGTACAGATTGGAGTATTAGAGACATCTGATGCATGGTGTGTGAGCCTCTGGAGAGGGCTCCTGAGCAAACCAATAGGACACTGAGCCAAATAATGGCCTAGGGCTACCTGCCGCAGTTCCCGACATTTCTCAAGAACAATAGACCATTTCTGATGGAGCAGATCAAAAGTCCATCTACTTCAACATCCTGTTTACCACCATGGCTAGCCTGATGTTTTTGGGAAGCCCACAAGCCAGATGGGAAGGTAATAGCCCTCTCTGATTGCTATCTGGCCCATCTGCCAACTGGTATTTGGGTTGCATATTGAGTCTGAACATGAAGACGCAATTTGGCAATCTCAGCTAGTAGAACTAACCTCCATGAATGGCTCTGATCACCTTGAAATGCCAATAGATACCACTACATCCTGCAGCAGCTGGTTTTGCAACTTAATTATGATGTGAAGAAGCACTTTTGCCTGTCCTGAGCCAACTGCCAACAAATTTCGTGATTCCTTATGCTAAATGATTTCATAGGGAATGTGCCCTGTATTAATTAGTAAACATGTGTGTGTGTGCTAATAATCCTAACTGGATTATTTTAATGGGAAGGGATTTTACAGGTGATCCAGATGTCATTGTCTTTACTCTGCAACCCTTCTGTATTTTCCTACCACCACTTCCATCTTAGTGCTTTGTTTTGTCACAAGAAGAAAGAAGGATAAAGCATAATAGCTACACAATACATTATAACTAGAAATGGTTGCAGCCATTCACCCAGAAACACCCTTGATCTTAGAAATTCAAATGTCTTAAGCCAGTCCTGTTAGAGCTCTATATCGGAGTTGCTGACCAGTTTGGAATTGCAAACAAATTTGAAGTAGAGGTACAACATCCCAACAGAATTCTTTAAACGATTGAATTCAGCCTTAATTGCCGCTTACTTTGCATGGAAAGATATGCTACATTTCCTTTCTCCAAGGGTCACTGCACAGTTCTTGCAGTGCCTCCCCTATACTGGATCCTCATTCTCTACAATACTATTATTGAGCCCATTGTAGGAAAAAGACAGGATATAAATCGAAAAATAAATAAAATAAAATAAAATAAAATAAAATAGGCTGACAGGCTAGTCCTGGCCCAAGATCTGGTAGCCAGCTGACTTGTCAGCTGGGAGGGCATTTGAATCCTGATCTTCTGACTCCTGCTCTGACAAGAGACTGTTAATTAGCAGTTATCTTCAGTATACTTCTGGGACAGAATTGAAATTGGAGCATCACATTAGATTTTCTTTCCTTGGTTTTCCACAACATATTCTCTAGGTGCCTCTGTGATATAGCAGAATAGTGCAAATAGGCAAGAGGAACCACACTTTGATAAATGCTGCATTTTCCCTGCTGTAAAAAAAGCCAAAATTTTGTGGCATATCATTATTCTCAGAATTTGTAAACAACCATGAATTGCAAATAATCCGTGCTTGATAAATGCTCCATACAGGAAAGCCCTCTGAGTAAAACACAAAGGCTTTACAGATGTAATTATATTATGATTCATGTGAGTGAGAAAAGACACAGCTTCAAGTATGCACATAAATTTGTAAATGTATTTTAGCATCATAAAAATCTTTCAGTAATACTGAATTTGGACATTTTGCTGGAAAAAAGAAAATTGTACAGTTGTTTATTAACACTTACTGTAAGTACTTTTCCAATGGAATACCCTTCATCTATTATCAAGGTAGTTCCATACCAAAAAGCTAATGCATATGATGCATATATTAATAAGAAAGCAATTCCCATAGAAACATTGGCAGTAATAGCTTTCTTTATTCCAATGTTTTTAGCATCTTCTAAATTTTTATGATACCTAAAGGAAGAACAGCAAGATGGTTAAATTAGTCTGCATTGGACAGCAAAATACATTTTCTTTCCATTTTAATTATCAATGTTTGCTACTGTCCCTTTAAAACAAAACAATACTCAGTTCATTTATTGTGTATGGTTGTTCTTAATATAATTCACTACTCTGGAATCTGCTTAGATATTTATTTATTTAAAATTTTTATATGCTGTTCTGTCGCAAAAAGCCTCAGGACGACTTACAGCATAAAATATAACATAAATAAATTCCTGACCCACACTGGTTGCAGTTAAAAACATAGAAAAGACAATATTAAAATATTATGAAAATATTGCTGGAATAAAAAGGTCTTAACCTGGTGCCGAAAAACAAATAACGATGGCGCCAGACAGACCTCTCTGGGGAGCACATTCCATAGATGGGGCACCACTGCAGAGAAAGCCCTCCTCCGGGTACTTTGCCTCCTAATATCTTTCACGGAGGGTTCCCGGAGGAGGGCCTCTGCTGCCGATCTCAAGGGGCAGGAGGGCAAATATGGACACAAGCGTTCCTTCAGGTATCCAGATCCCAAGCCGTTAAGGACTTTATAGGTAATAACCAGCACCTTGAATATGGAGCAGTATACAAATCCTGTAAATAAAGAACTACTCAAAAAGTGATCCTTCAGTACTTGCTTAATTGATCACTTATTCTACTTGTTCTTCAACAATTACTTGTTCTTTAACAGAAACGTATGCAGTTCATTCAATCCAAAGAAAAGAAGATGAGCAAGTTTGTGGCAAGCAAATGCTGCCATGACCATCTACTAACTAAATGATTCTCTCTTCTCTATGTCTTCTGGTGATCCTGGGGCTTTGGGAGATGGTTAAAAACTGGTGAACCACCTCTATCTTCCCAGGGACAGCATACAGTAAGAATGTACAAAGTTAGCCACTGGGACATAACTCTTAAAGGCACAATTTCTTTGGGATTCAGAGCCAATAGCCCTCTGAACTCGAAGGATTGTATGCATCCTACGCAGGATGGGAGAAGTGCAAAGGGGAAGGTCACATCTCTGGTCCTCCCACTTGCAAAGCCCTTAAGCTGCCAGTTTGGGCCATGTAAGTGCAGCAGGAGGAGGTTGAGCCACCACCAGGATACATTATGTGTCATAGCTTGGCAGCACCAGCCTCTTCTCCTCCCTACCTTGCAGAATACCCCAAACACCCATCTCCAAGGTTGTTCTTGCACCCACCCTTGAGACATAGAAGTATGGTTCTCTCCATGACAGCTGCAAGAGAAACTGGGAGACCCCTGTAATCCTATGGCTCTCTCAACACTAACAGCCGCAGGATTGCTCTGCCCGGTGAAATCCATGCTACTCAGAGATAAGCCTTATTGAGTTCAATGGAACCTTCTTCCAGGAAAACATGCACAGAGATTTGCAGCCTTAGGCTGTGTGCAATTACAATTATTTACCAATATGGAACAAATTGCAGAGACATCCCCAGCCACTTTCTCCGAGTCTTAGGAGTACAGCAGTGGGAGTTGGCTGAGGGTTCTGCAGATCCTAGCAAACATTAGTTACAGAATGACTAAGTGAGCAAGCTGCCCACCAAATTTTCCTGCAGGGCAGACTTGCAGGCGGTTTCCTTGGCTACTCTGAACAACACAGTGTAAAATCAATAGCAAAACAATTCCTGACCTTTCAATTTCTTTCTTCTGTCCTCCAAAAGCTATCACTGTCCTAATTGCTCCCAGGACCTCCTCAGCAACTGATCCAGCTTTTGCATAGGCAGCAAGCTCCTTATTGGTGAATGCAGTAAGAACCTGTGTGAAAGCAAAAGAGGTCCTGCTGTTCAAGATTATACTGTATGAGGACTACCCCTTGCTTCATTCCCTTTACCAGTGCACTTCTTGCCAAAAACCATGTATCTGGCTATCAGAAAGGAAGCAAGGGAAATTTGGGAACAATTTATGCCAACACACTGACTAGTACAGCCTTTTCCCACCTTGTACCCTCCAGATGTTTTGGACTACACCTCACAGGGTTCCTGAACATTGACTCTGCTGGCTGGAGCAGGTGGGAAGTGATATCTAAAACATATGGAGAGTAGTAGAAAGGTACTCTCTAGATCAAGGAACTGGAGCCCAGCAATGAAGAGACCATGGGTCGAATCCAGTCCACCAGAGCTACTCAGCCCACCTCCAGGAAGGTTTCACCCAGTGCTGCATGACTTTTCCTCCTACAGGTAGCTCTCAAGCCTTATAGTGGTCCCTCCTGAAACTGAGGAACAACCCCCACTGCATGTTTGTTCTCAGCTGATCAATGGGGACTGTGCAGTGTGCTCTTACCTTTCAGCAAAATTATACCCACCTTTGCCCAGAGAGCAGCTGAAAGCCCCAAAACAGGACTGATGGCAAGGATGACGAGAGTCAACTTCCATCCTTTAATGAACCCAATTATAAATCCTGTTACGAATGAAGATACTCCCTGAATCAACATTGCAATTTTATCACCAATTCCTTCGTTGATTTTGGAGACATCGCTAAAAACAAGTTAAAGCACATTGGTTAGGATAATATTTAGGGACTGAGGGACACTAAAATGCATTTTCAATATTTTCTGATGGTTCTGCTACAACATGGTTTGAATTCATACATACTATAAAAATATACATATTATGCCAGAGATACACTGCATGTTTTACCAAAACAAGCAGGTATTTTCTTTAGCTTCACAATTCTCTTCCTGCAAAGTGATTCAGAACTATAGATATCATCTGATAGCTTTAAGAAAAAAATAATGCTGTACTATGCGAAGGTCAAATTTATGCAAGATCAGTAAACTGACCATTCACGACAGAGCAATTGGTGATAATACAACTTTCCTAGTTCTGCTGTGCTAATTTAAAACAATAGGGGAGAATAAATTTCAATACTGAGTCCTAAGCACATGGAATCAAACTTACACATGCATTTTGCTTTGGCAGTTCTAATGTTTGAGCCTCCCTGTCATGTAAAGGCAAAGACGACTGCTACATTTGCAGTTCAGACTGTGCACATCTTCAGAGCTGCAGCTTTGCTGCTTCTCTCTCTTTAAAACTGATCTGAGCAATACTGGGAGCTTTCTTTAAAGTCTCAGTGGCTAAAGTCTTACCAGTACATAAGAACATCTGCTTTGTACAACGAATTAATCAGGCCAGTAGTACCCAAAATTAAAATCAGGTTCCCTGTTGAAGAAAATGCATTAACCAAGCATGAAATACATACTCACTCAGTAAGTCGAGTATTTAGTTCCCCAACATCATTTACATCAAACCACCCAATGTCTTGCCTCATGATGGCATGGAAAAAATATTGCCTAATTCTCTTGATTTGGCGGCCAGCCGCAAGCGTCCAACATGCAATGTGCACATAGGCAGCCAGAAGAACAGCAAATCCCAGTCCTGTGTAATAGTATGCATATCTGGAAGTACAATGTCGCAGAAGCATAAGCAAGAGAAGCATTGGTGTCAGTCTTCAGTAACACTAAGACAAACTGGTTTTAGGAAAAGCTGCTGTATTTGCGTCCATAAAGTAGAAACTAGGTTCAGTAGGAACAGTTAATATTGTTTTGTAAAATAAAAATATACATATTAAAGATATTATCTTTAAAAAGGACATAAGAACCACCCTTATGTCCAACCAACCATTTATCTAGTCCAGCATCCTGTTTCCTAAAGTGGACAGCCAGCTGCCAATGGGGAGCTCACAGCAGGATATGGGGCTAATAGCTGTTTCCTGTGGTTGTTTCTTGGTGGTCAACGTGAAGAGACAGGCGGTCTCTGATCCCGGAAATAGCATATAGCCATCATAACTAATAGGTGGCAATATAAAAGGCACCCCCTTTCCCCAGACCACCAATTGTTTGCTGGTCACCTTGTTTATGTAAATTCCTACCACCTTTTTAAATGGTTGAAATGCTTCTAAGTTTTAATTATTGACAACATGAAAACCTACACTCAAGGACAGAGTATGGGTTGAATGTAGGTTGTCACTGAATAATGAGTTATAATCAAAACTACTGCATGTCTATTATACTGACGTCGCAACACAAGACCTGAAGGGAGGAAAAAGGGAGCAGTATATAAAATGAATGAGGAAAAATAAGAAAATGATCAGTGAAGTTAAAAAAAAATGGGATGGTGCATTTGTAGAACTCACTTCTGTTAGGGAACCACCGGGCATCTTCTCTCATCTCTTTTAGACACCAATTGAAAATGTTCTATTTCCAAAATTACATTGACAAGTTGTATTGACTTGGTTTTATGTTTATATTTGTGTTATTATTGCTACTGCCATTCTATGAATTTTAGCTGCCACACAATTTTATCTTGTTGTCTGGCAGTTAAAATTTTATTCTTTCTTAGTTAAAAGATGTTAAAAATGGTTTTATTCATTGAATGTCAAACTTTTCTGTCCCCCTTCTTATTAGTTGCTTTCTGTTTTTATATATGTTTTATTACATATTATTGAAATGCATTGTTAACTGAATTTTATTTTTGTTGTATTGTGAGCTGCTCAGAGAACTATAGCTAAGGGATGCTGCATACAAGTTCAATACATAATAATAGTGGTAATACTTCTTTATCTAGGTTAACTCCTCCTTTGTTATATTAAGCAAAATAATGCATCCTTTAAAATGGGAAACATTAATAAGGATCTTGGATAATGCACAATGCTTGAGAATCTCAAGGGAATGGAGCAAGTTCCCTGTGATGATAGATGATAACGGCTGTGGATTATTAGCTTAGGAGAAAACCAAAAAGGAAAGACAGGATGGACATGAATATCATTTTGCCGGGTCTAAACTCTGTAAAGAAAGAAGAACCTTGGTCATCCAATGAGCCTCAACAGTAGGACATGCAGGGCTGATTGAAAGAAAAGGACAAAGGAGAATGGATAATAATGATGAATTTGCTACCGTATGATATAGTGATGGCCACTAACTTGGATGTCTTTAAAAGGAGATTGTACAGCTTAACAGTGAATAAGACTCCTGGAGGCCTGCTAGTCATCATGGTTGTTACCTCTGCTATCAGAGGCAGTTTGCCTCTCAGTTCCAGTGGCTGGGGAATGGAAGTGGGAGGGAGTTATTGCATTCATGTTCTGTTGTGGGCTTTTGCATATGCATGGGGTTGACCACTGTGCAAACAAAATGCTAGACAGGAAAGAATGTGGTTTGAACCGGCAGAGTTCTTTGTGCGTGAGTGCGTGCGTGCGAGAGAAAGAGAAACTAACCCTCCCCCCCATAAGTTACCTTGTCATGTTCTCTTGAAGGCTAAGAGTAATCTGAGATACATTATCTAAAAGGAATACAAACAACATCAAAACAATTAAAGACAGTCTTAAGGAACTAGCTAGCACGACCAACCCAGTTCCGCTTAATAGTTTTGTACTTCCATCAGTGTGGAAGTGGATGCCAATGTGGAATCATTAATATTTGTATAGCTCCATCAATTACTGTTCTCACTCACAGCCACTTTACCAGTAGCACTTTAAAAAACAGGTTCAGAACATCCTGTGGCATCCTGTTCATATCTGAACAATTCTCCTGACATCTTCCTGTCCTCCCCACAAGTATTATCTATGTATTGTATCTATACAATACATAGATAATACTCTTAATCACAAAAAGCTTTAAAATCAAATGTATAATGATCTAGGATGGGCAGTGCATTCTGTGCAAGGAACACTGCATCCCTTTTAGTTTTGGGGTTGGATAGGATCACGCCTTCAAAACCACCCTTTGAGCCTAAGCATTCTGTGTCTTACACATTTCTCTGTTCTGGGTCACTCTTTATATAACTATACCAGTGCTAACAAATATTTTTAGCTACTGCAGTCAGGTTTGCAAACTGAGTCTTCGACGAGTCATTTCTTAATGTGCTTGGCAGGGTTCACTGCATGATTCAATGTGGCAACCCATAACCCTCCAAACTGAGAGGATCATGGGCATCCTTTTGAGGAGAGAAGGGCACAGAGGCACTTGCCTCTGCATTTCTTCCACTCTGCAAAAGACTTAGGTGGCCACTGTCGGCCTTCTAAGTCCTTTGAGCCTATCTCTGAAGAGATTCCAACCCTGGAGCCACATCCAGCGTGATTCTTCCCATGCTAACTTGCACGGTGGAGGGAGGGAGCTCAGACTGTTGAGTCCCAGCTCTGACCTTAGAGCACAGTTTCTTTCCAGTTGAACAGCTATAAAGGATATGTAGCAATGATTAAAATAAGGCAAAACTAATACCTCTCCACTAGATCTCTCTCCCATTTAATCAATTCAAATGATGATCTGGCTCCATTGGAAAGTTAGGGTTTCATTAACAGGACAAGGTTTCTTACTTTGATAAGAATATACAGGGCTTTTTTTGTCATAGAACACACCAGAACGGTGTTCCGGCACCTTTGTTTCCAATGGATTTTACGAAGTGATTTTGAATCGTAGCAAATCAGCAGCAAACATCATTAACATAGTGCCTGCAGGCTGCTTTTGTGTCTGCTATCTGCTAGTGACAGGACACTGCTCTGCTCTGCTGCTCCTCGGCTTGGGATTGGTGTGTGTGGTCGCGCGCTTACAGCCGGCGACGTGAGTTCTGGCACCTTTTTTTTTTTTTTTTTACATAAAAAGCACTGAGAATATATATATTCACTGTAGTAATTAAAAAAAGAAACCAACCAAATATTAAAGACAGGGTTCTTGAAAAAGAAAAACAATGACAACTGAAAAGACACACTGTCCTAAAAAAATAAACAGCTGGCTATCTTAAAGGAAATTTCCATTTCCCTATTCAAAATAACTGTACTCACATTTTTAGAGTTTAGGTTACAGGACTTTAGAGGAGCAGAACCTTATGTACCCTTAGTAATATGAATGTTTTGTGGGTTAGCATTGCAATCCAACTGAGCACCTCCAAGAGAGATTTAGCAGGTGGTCACAAGGAGGGCTCTCTCTGTGATAGCCCCCAACTTCTCCCCAATGAGACCTGCACAGTGCCCACTTTGCTATCTTTTTGGTACCAGGTTAGGCCTGCTCTTCCTTGCTGAGACATTCGCCAACTCCAAATAGCACAAGTGGAGTGTCAGCTGTTTTAGCAGGCCCAGCACTATGAACTGGTCTTAATTGTTTAGTCATTAAAGCATGAGTTAATTTTTAATTTGATTTTATGATGCTATTACTCCTTCGTTTTATATTGTATTTTATTGTATTTATGAATTGTTGTTCGCCTCCCAGGGAGCGTTGGCTATTGAACAGTATTGAAATAAAATAAATGATAATGACCCAAAAGACATTAGGGTGCCTGTCCCATGAACTAGGCAAGAGAGTAACAATGCAGGCAGAGGTAGATTTAGACAGTGCAACTGCATGACCTGCAGCAGAAAATCCATGCTTTCTTTCTCCCAGGTGTATTTGGGGAGTCAGTGTCATGAGCTGGGGTCCTCCTCCTGAGTAATCATGCTACTCCAGAACTCCTTTTCCCAATAGACTTCATTGCTACATGTCTCTGAGATCACCTAGAGTGAAATGCGGAGTCCTCCTTAACATCCATCATTCCCTTGCTTCTTTATAACCCCTTTGACATCTCGCTCAAGGGTAGAGCACTGTGAAACGGTGCTCACCTGTGCTCTTCCTGTTTCTCAACCGATTGAACCTCCCACCATGCTATCATCTGACAACATGTCACATCTTCAGGAGAAGGGACTTCTGTGTCCAACAAACTTCTGAGCTCTCCAGCCTCATGCCCCTGCCACGAGACATGTCCAGCCTCCAGCTCCACCTTCTCTCCTCAGATTGGTAGACTGGGGCTCCCATCAGCCTGCACTGTCAAGCCCTCCTCCTTTTCCCTATCTCTTCACTTGCATGGGTGGATTGACCTTGACTCTCATCAGCCTGAACTGCCAGCTCCTCCCGCTCTTATCTCCCCAGAAGTTCCCTGACCTTGGTCTACTGTCTGGACATGCTGAGTTTCCACGACAATCTCATCCTCACTGTCTGAGCTCGAGTTCCCATCAACCAGGCAGCTGCTCATGTGTGCACGGCCACCCGGACACAGTGCATGCGCATGGCAGCCAGAACCCCTTTCCAGCAAGGGAACTCAGCCAGTCAAGAGCTTGATCAATGCTTAATTCCAGTTTTCTAGCAACATTTTACAGACAAAACTGCTGATATCCAAGAAAAGCAGCAATAATTTAACAATCCCAAATAAATAAAAGAAACACAGCAATGCACACAGTTTAACACACTTACACTATTAAAAAGAGGTACCAATTAATTATTTTTTCCTTTGTTGCAATATTGCTCTTATGCTACTGCTATCCTACCCTTTTAGCCCCAGAGCCATGCTAGAGGACTCTTGTGGTTTGCACTGCAGTGGTGGGTGGGGGCAGAAACAAAGGGGGCAAGGGACAAATTGGCAAAATATTATAATTACGTGTGAGGAGGGGCATTTCAACCCTTTAAAATGGGGATGGTGGGGTGGGGGGAGAGGCTCCCAGAGCAACTCACTAAGACATCTCAGGCCTGTGGTTCTGTACCCCTGCTCTGTCAGTGTAAGATTGTCAACATGGGGCCAAAAAGCATTGTTTGGTATACTCCTATACTAGCTGCATAGACACCTGTAGCTTATGGTAGATTTCTGAGGGGTCCACTGCTCAGAGGACACGCATCTTTCCTAATTTCCACTGTATTTCAGAAAGTCTCTTGCTCCATAGAGCTCTTACCTGGTTGACTAATTCCAGAACCAACAAAGCTATCTGTCATATCTCCAAAAACAATCATCATGAGTGGAAGGGAAGCTCCATGAAGTGCAGCCAAGAGCATTCCTAATGCCATTAACAGTTTATCCAAGCAGTCCGAATAACGAAACTGAAAATGTGAAAATCCATATCTGAAAAGAAATTTCTCCCATAACGTGCACATAATTTTGTCTCCCATCCATCCATCAGTCCTACCTATGTGAGACTATTTCAAAAATACGTACACAAAGTTGCAACAGCAGCAAACTCTACAGAAGTTTTAATTTACGCACTGTCATGCTTGTATTACCTGGAAGCCACTAAGTATTGACATTGTGATCCAAAGCAACAAAGTACTGAATGCGTCTTGGAAGTACTCAGTCCATATGCTGCCCAGAGAGCCCAACACTGGACTATTGGTGCACTTTACAAATTTAAAAATAAATAAAATACACTTGATCTAAGCCAAAAGCGGAGAAGCAAAAAATAGAGATGACTCAATTGCTCCATAACGAATTTGTTTTGTTAATACCTGTGACTGGTACCTAAGCAATAAAAGGAACTGAATTGTCCACTGTAGATTGAAAGTTCCAAGTTCATGCTGTTTCATGGCATGAACATCCCGTTACTGTCAACAGGGCCAGCTCCAACGTCAGGCAGAGGAGGGCAGCTATCTCTGGCAGCGGATGTGGGATGTCTGTGTGTGTGTGTGGGGGGGGGGGGGGGGGGGGGGGGGGACAGCAGCAGGAAATTATAGAACAGACCTTTATGTGCCATGCAGTCTGCCCTGTGCCCCCTAAACAAGCCCGCTGCCCTCCGTTGTGGTCGCAGTGTCAGTGCTGAAGCAAGATTCAACTGCTAGTCTGGTAAATGTCCATACATGTAAGAGGGAGAGCCATGTTGTCCTGTATGTCAGGCAGAAAGCTAAACTGAGCCACCCTGACAATTAAGCTGTCTATGAGGTTGTTTGTCTACTTCAAAAAGAACAAAGCAGCTTGTGCTGTCTGATAGAACAGTGCCAGCCCTGGACTTGGAGGACATCTCCTTGCGATTTCCCACCTGCTCTCCCTCTCCCTCTGGTTCCAGTCTCCCTGCTGCCAAAGACCAAGGGCAGAAGAGCAAGCAGGCCTTGGGAGCTGTTTTCTTCTTCTATGCATTCCCACTGCTTGCTGGCACTCTCCCCGCAGCAACACAACAGGTATCGATGGTTGTAGCAGTACCATTAAGCTCAGGGGATATTAGCAACCTCTTTCCCCTTGTGCCATGTATGGGCTTCATCTTTTGTCCAGGAATGCCAACCTCTGATTCCAGATCTGTGCTAGAAATTCTAGAATAATTAATGCTTCTGCTGCTGGTTTTTGACAATGATACCCTGACCCACTGGTAAAGCTGCAGAACTGTGAAGGCATGTGAACCCAACCATTCACCGGGTGCAGCTTGACCCATTCTGCCATCTTCTCCTACTATTATCACTTCTGCACTACTCTGACTTTGGGATAGGTTATGAAAGAGGTGTAGGAAGTCTTGCAGATAGACGGATTTAAAAGAATTTCAGTACTGGTGAGAAGGCATATACGTGCATTAATATATACACTCAAAACAAAGGCTATGAAGATAATTAACTTTGGTTCTACAATCCCTCCCTCTTTCTGAAGAAAAGCACAATGGAGCGAGCAGTCAGACATGTGTCCTTGCTCATACCAGACTTTTTAAATATTGGACATCATAACCTAGTTATAACAAATAATGGAGGCACTCTGTCAATTGCTTGTAAGAGACCAGAAATGAACATGTGATAGGAAACTCTCTCCTCCTGATTTTAATTCTCACCTTCCTTCAGCACTGTCACATCTCAATCAATGTTAATCCATGATTAACAGTAAATGATTTCAATAGTTAGCTTTAAATGAGATTTAAATATGATTATGAAATCTGGATAAAAGCTAACCATAGTTAATGTTGGTGCAGATATTATACTGTAGTAATACTTAATGCTGGTAAGGAGGAAAGATGAAAGATTCTGCATGCAAGAGAAAGTGGTTGGATGAAGAAGAGAGAGAGAGATTGGGAACATACAGCTAATCTCTCAAATCTTGTTAAACAATCATAAGCATTGCATGTATAAAAGCTGATATATGTGTATATCAATTAAAGTTCAATACGTACATGGAGCAGAACTTACCACTGTAAATGGGCCTACCATTTTAGGCTTCTCTTTCTTTTCCTTATTATTCCTGAATAAATGCAGAAAGAGATTTCTCAGGGTTTTTTTTTTTTAAGTGTGACCTCAGAGTAGGGCTAAAGGGCAAGAGGGGAGGAGGCAAGGGCTGGTGGGAGATGATGCCTCCTTCCTTCTTCACCCAAGGCACCATGGTTAGACCACTGAGACTGGCCATCTAGCTGAATTGCTGGATGAGAGGACCAGGGAGGCCCTCAGACACTTCTGCATTCAGAGGCTTGTGGGCATCCCCACTGGATTTCCCCCTAACAGACTCAGTCGACCTAGGACTCAGCAGCCCAGAAACCTATGCTCAGTATAAATAAGAGAACCATATTAACATTGCGTAGCATTTTGAATTATTTTCCCCCAGATGTCAGAGACAATAAAGAAACAGGGAATGTAAAAGAAACAATTTCTTCCCAGGAGCTCTCAGGCTGTTATTTCCCATTTTCTTCCTTGCCAACTTGGTTATATAAGTACATACAAGTTAATCATTCCCTTATAGAATATCCTGTCTTGAGATAGAATTACCCAAGGCTAATCATGACCTCTGATGGTGGTGAAACAATCAGAACACCCTTCTAATTTTAGGGTACAGCCACCACCTGCCACATAGCAGCTGCCACTGTTACAAAGGAGTAACATGACCTATGGGCTGAGTACAAAGTAGAAGTAGGGTTTACACTGCAGCACACTAAGCAACTCTTTGAAACAAAGTTAACTGCAGCACTGTGAAAGCGAAGTTTGTCTTTCTCTCCTCCTGGTACCAGTCAACACATTAATCCCTTCTCTTTCTCTCTTCCATTTCTCTCTGAAACAATTGCAGCTGCTGGCTTAAACATGTTTTTTCCACCTCAAAAAGTGCAGAGGCGCCTCAGCCGGCATCAAGAACAATATCCTGGAGCAAATGCTTCCTGCAGGCACCTCTTTACCTACTCCGGCACTAAAATATCCCAGTTAGATTTGTAAGGGAGCACATTTCCAAAGAACTTTTGCCTCTAAAGTATAAAGCATTACAAGGCCTAAATCAGAGGAATTCATTAGCTGGAAATGCAGAAAAATACCTACTTTTTGCTTTTAGTCTCGGAAACATTGTCTGTTACAGTCATCTCAGCAGCCTTTCCATTAATGTGTGTCTTTGATTTTTCGGAAGCCATTTCTGTCTAAATAGGAAATAGAGTCACTCAGGAAATTAAATTAACCAATATGAAGCTTAAAGAAACATGCAACCACTAAACATTCAAGGTGATGTTTTGAGACCATTTTGAAAATACAAACACCATCCAAGTTTCATTATTTTTTTCTGAATCAAAAATATTTCTTCCAATAGCTCTGACTCTGCAATTGCCCTGTTATGTAGGCCGTCTAGACAAGAATGTTTCCATTTGCAATCCTCCCTTGAGTCTTCAAACCCTTATCTTGCCACAGCAGAACTGTGAGAAGAAAACAGAACAGCCTTTGATTGGTAGCGCTAGGAACTGTCTGTCCTGAAGCACCCCCAAAATAATATTAATGGAAGTGAAAAGTAAAATAATAATATGTTGCTGAATTTTTATTTTGCAGTTGCTACTTAAATGTGGGTACAGATTCATAGTGTTTTCTTATCTCCTTTAATTAGTTTTGGAGAATTAAAACAAATTACATTGACTGCATTTGTATAATTAAGTTTTCAATGTATCCTGCTCCATAGCTGCATTCAACTTGATTTCATCTCTGTCTCTCTCAGATACACACTCACATACACACAGCTTTTTGAAACACAGCATTTCAGTAGAGAAGAAATGAAATCCAGAGAAAAAGAGAGGACTTACCAGATTGGAATTCTTTTTTATTGACTCTTCTTTTTGAAACATTCAATAGTGATGCGCTTTGTGATGTGGCTGCTGATGAGCAGTGGATGGAATTCTGCTCAATTATATCAAGTAGGCAAAAGTTTACTGTAACAGGTAGTTACCAAGAGTTCTCACTCTCCTTGGACCTTGGCTAGTCTCTGGAGCATTATGTTTATGCATGCTGAGCTCCACCCTCAAAGCAACTAATGTTTAACGAAGCCAGGACTGACACTTTTGACTCATTCTTCTGTAACTCCACCCTAAGAAAGGCTCTATTTCATGAAGCCTTTTTAAAGAGATAATCTGCTTCTGAAATATTGATGAAATACAATATTGGCATCTTTCTCTCTTTTCTCTGTACACTACAGGGAGCAAAACAAAAGTATTATTGGAGGAAGAGAGGTAAAGCATTATATAAGAGATAAAAAGTCAGGAAGCTTCCAAACAGGAGAAATTGAAAGAATGCTTCAAAGAAAGCATACAGAAAGAAAATATTCATCCTATACGTGCTTGGAAGTAGGACCATATAATTCAGTGAGACTGACTTCTAAGTGACACACATAGAATAGAACTGTGAGTGTGCTTAATATGGAAGCCTACAACTACTATCCTATCAACAATTAATGTTGATATAGGATACAAAGCCCTTTGTAACACAGTGGGATGTAGGTCTAAGGAAATATAGTGAGTTATTGTAATATTTACGAATCAGCTCTCTGAGACAAAAAGCCCCAAGCTGATATTCAGACATTTAAAAAATCTCATACAATCCCTTCTGCCAAAAAACAGCTTGAAATTTATGAATAGTTCAGAATTTTCCTTAAACTAAAATGAGAATTAATCTCATTTTAAAAGCCAGTAAATGCCAAGCAGAACACAAAATCTTTTACATCCACCTGAGGCCAAGTCCAGATGAGGCCAATCTGGCCTCCCTAGAGACAGAGCTACAGTGTTGGCGTGCTGCCACGGAAAAGGCCCTGTCCCAAGGGGCCTAGATTCTCTTGGTGAAAGGATAGACAAGGAGAATGTAAGGTACTGACTTGTTCATTTGTGAGGAGTCTGTCTTTCAGATATCTTTGTTCCAAATTATCTAGGACTTTGAAGGAAAGAATCAGTACTATCAGCTGGACCTGGAAACAAATCAGAAGCCAATGAATCGATGCAAGGCTAATATACTGTAGTCTACAAAGTACACACCAGGAAACAGTCGAGCTACAGCAATTTGCACCAACTGCAATTTCCCAACACACTTCTATACACAGGGAACTGTAAGTCTTCTAAAGACCTCCTCTAAATACTAGATGAGATGGATTCTAGTCTGAGCATCAAGTTATTTTTTTAAACTGCTCAAATGCATTCTGAATACACATTTATTTATTTATTTATTTATTTAAAACATTTCTATGCCGCCTCCATCGCAACAAAGCCTCAGGGCGGCTCACAGCATAATTAAAGCATATAAATAACAATTAATACAATTAGAGATTAAAAAGCCCGGTAGCATCTTGGCTTAAAAATTTTAAATCCTATAAATACCATAGTAAGTTAACAATTAAAATAAGTTTTAAATAAAAAGGTCTTGGCCTGGTGCCGAAAAACAAATAGCGATGGCGCCAAGCGGACCTCTCTGGGGAGTGCATTCCATAGGTGGGGTGCCACCACAGAGAAGGCCCTCCTCCGGGTACTCACCCTCCTAATATCATTCACGGAGGGTTCCCGGAGAAGGGCATCTGTTGCCGCTCTCAAGGGGCGGAAGGGCATATAGGGACACAAGGGTTCCTTTAGATAACCAGGTCTCAAGTCGTTGAGGGCTTTATAGGTCATAACCAACACCTTGAATTGAGCCTGGAGTTCAATCGAGAGCCAGTGAAGCTGATGGAGAACTGGTGTTATATGAGAACAACGCCCAGACCCGTCAGCAACCTGGCAGCTCTATTCTGCACCAATTGAAGTATCCAGACCGTCTTCAAGGGTAGCCCCACGTAGAGTGTGTTACAGAAGTCTAATCGGGAAGTTACCAACGCGTGTGTCACTGTCACCAGGCAGTCATTCTCCAGGAAGGGACACAGCCGATGGATCAGCCAAAGCTGAAGGAAGGCGCTCCTTGCCACCGCCATCACCTGAGCTTCTAGTGACAGCTCAGGGTCGAGGAGCACTCCCAAGCTGCGAACCCTGTCCCTCAGAGGGAGTGCAACCCCATTTAGGACAAGGCCCAAGTCCCCCATCCCGAAGCCCGAACCACCCACCAACAAGACCTCCATCTTTCTGGATTGAGCTTCAGTTTATTGGCCCTCATCCAGCCCTTACCTTGGCCAGGCACCGGTTCAGCACAGCCACTGCCTCACCTGGATTGGTGGAAAACGAGAGGTAGAGCTGGGTATCATCAGTGTACTGATAATTCCTCAGCCCACACCTCCTAATGACCTATCCCAGCGGTTTCACGTAGATGTTAAATAGCAAGGGGGACAAAATGGACCCCTGTGGAACTCCATGGCATAACTGCCATGGCACAGAGCCATAGTCCCCCAGCACCACCTTCTGGAATTGGCCGTTGAGATAGGAATGGAACCACCACAACACAGTGCCTCCAACTCCCAATCCCGCTAGCCTATCCAGAAGGATACCATAGTTGATGGTATCGAAAGCTACTGAGAAGTCCAGGAGAACTAACAGGGATGCACTCCCCCTTTCTCTCTCCCTGCACAGGTCATCATACAGGGCGACTAAGGCAGATTCAGTACCATACCCAGGTCTGAAGCCGGACTGAAATGGGTCCAGATAATCAGATTCATCCAAGAGTGCCTGGAGTTGTCCCGCCACCAGCTGCTCTAGCACTTTGCCCAAGAACAGGATGTTGGCCACCAGTCTATAACTGGCGGCCACCTCTGGATCCAGGGATGCCTTCTTTAGGACTGGCCGGACTACCAACTCCTTTAAAGGGGCAGTTACCCGGCCGTCTCTTAAAGAGGCGTTGGCGACCTCCAGGATCCAGGTCCCAATCCCGTCCTTGGCTTTCTTGAGTAGCCAAGATGGGCAAGGGTCTAGTAAGCAGGGGGTAGGACATACTTCTCCAAGGACCTTGTCCACATCATCAGGCTGCAAGTGAAATTCATCCATTAATTGTGAACTCAACGGCGTCATTGGCACCTCCCCAGTAGAATCTGATTCAATAGTAGAGTCAAGCTTGTGATGAATCTGAGCGATTTTCTCCCTGAAATGCTTGGCGAAGTTGTCACAGCGGGCCTTCGAGGGTGGCACAAGATCTCTCTTTGGGCCCGGATGTACCAACCACTGCACCACCTGAAAGAGCTCCGCCGGTTGACATTGTGAGGAGGCAATGGAAGTGGAGAAGAATTTCTTCTTCACCACCCTCACGGCCACAGCATAGGCCTGATAGTGGGCTCTTAAGTGTGTTTGGTCAGATTCATCCCGTGATCTCCTCCACCTACACTCTAGACGTCTCCCAAGCCGCTTCATCGCCTGTAATTCAGGTGTGTACCAAGGAGATGAGCGGGCTCTGCCAGGTGGGAGAGGATGCTTGGGAGCAATCGTGTCAATAGCCCTGGTCATCTCCCCATTCCACAGTTCAACCAAGGCATCGACAGGAGCACCAGCTTTGTCAACTGGAAAATCCCCCAGAGCCTTCAGGAATCCATCAGGATCCATCTGGCTCTGGGGGTGGACCAATACAATCTGGTCTGCACCCTTACAGAGGGAAAGGCTGCTCTCGACCTTATGAGGAAGTGATCTGACCATGGCAGGGGCGTCAGTCTTAAGTTCCTCACCCTCAGATCACCCTCTTCCTGCCCCGTCAAGAAAACCATGGGTTGGGGAACTGACGTGTTGAGGCAGCCCCATGCCCGCCATGGAGGCCATGAAGTCCTGAGCCACCCCAGTCAGAACCGTCTTGGCATGGAGATTGAAGTCCCCCAGGACCAACATCCTGGGAGTCTTCAACACCAGGTCCGAAACGATCTCTGTCAGCTCAGGCAGGGAGTCTGTTGGGCAGAAGGGTGCACGGTACACCAACAGAATCCCCAGTCTGTCTCGGTCACCCAACACCAAGTGGAAGCACTCTAGACCCGGCCTCGAGAGGACAGGAAGCCCCAAAAGGGAAATAGTGCCATCCTATGTATTTCCATTCAAAAAATCAGCCAGATGTTTCTGGGCATTGATAAATAAGGCATAAAAACTCTTTCTCTTCGCCAGTTTGTCTCCAGCACCTGATACTCAGAAGTATGCTGTCTTTCACCATGGAAGTTCCTTTTACTTACACTGATTAGCAGCCATTAGTAAATCCATTCTCCATAAATTGCTTGAATCCTCTTAAAACCTTATGAACTAATGACCATCGACATTTTACCTAGTAGCCATGAATCCCATGGGCTGAAATAACAAGCTGCTTTGCAGAAGGATTCCCCACACCCACTGTCTGGCCTTTAGTAGCTAAACATTGACAGATATATCATCATGCAACTTTTGATTACCTAGATTGTTTATGACCCGATTCACATTATGGAAGCAATTCAGCCATTTCAAATTAAATTTTACCAGCCTGCCTGCTCTTTGTGTGGTACACCTGAACTTCCACATTCCAAAGGGAGGGTAGCAAATCAACTTATATGACCTCTCTTATGAACTCACTAGATTGGGTAACACTCCTAGTTAAAGGTGATTTCTGAAGAAATAAATCTATGTCCTCACTGTTGTGCTAATTCATCTCTGTAGCTAACAGGTTTTGGAGAGCAGCCAGGAAGAGTTCCTGGATCATAAAACAGTAGCGTTGGAAGGTCCATGAAGTTCATCGAGTCCTATATCCTGCTGTTACAGGACACCAATTTATACCATCCTACTCAGATGGCTGTCCAGAGTTGCAGCTGGGTCTTAGTTTCCAACTTGATCACCTGCTTGTGAGCTGCAATCCCAGGCTTTTCCAGCTTGCTTCCCTCTGGACACATGGGACTGCAGCTCCCATGCTCCCCAGCCAGTATGGCCCATGTTCACTGGAAATGCTGAGAGTTACAGTCCCACATATCTGGAGGGCAACAGATTGCTAACATCCATATAGGTATTCACTGGGGCTTATCTCAGAGTAGTCACAAATGGGATTATACT